AGCGTGGGGGAGGCTCAATGTGCGGATGGTCGCTTGCTTTTTTCCAGGATATGAATGCCGTGGGCTCTACAGACTGGTATGTTCTTGTGTTATGTCGAGGTTAAGGACTCAAGGGTTTCGGCATCAAGCTTGGACTTTACATGCATTGTCTTTTTAGGCCGCCGCAATAGCACGGCACCCTCAAAAAAACAAATCAGCCGCAAAATGGACCCTATTTTAGCTCTGAACCCCTAAGGCCTCCCTTAAAAGCAACCCTAAAAGGGACCCTAAATACCCATGTGGTTTGCCAAGAAGGTTCCGACGGACCTCTACTACAGTCTGCTCCGAGAAGGATGTGCAACTGCAGGCCAACACCGTCTCGGAGCTCAGACGAGTTGGGGTTTTTATTGTTGGGTTTAGGGCTTAGGGGTAAGGACTTTTTGTTGCTCTGTATAGAGCTTAGGGCTGAGGATTTTTTGTTGCTTTAGGGTTTAGAGTTTAGGGGCGTAGAACGTACTGTTGCTTTGGTCATTAGGGTTTAGGAACCTTTGCAGTGCAGGCTTTTGGTTTTAGGCTCGATTAAACGTGCCATCGTTCAAGGAATACTGTTTGATCAAAGGACATTGGACTCTGCGGGCTTCGGCTGTAGGGTTTCGAGACTATTCGCTCCATGGTTCCGGCAGTTACGGCGCTTTGGATGGTTGCATTCGGGGTGGGTCTGATGCCTTGAAGGCCAGGGTTGTAGACTCCGATGGATGATCCAGATTATATGAGCCGTGGTACGTCTTTCACTTATCCTCCCATTGCTGCCGCTGCCAGCACTACGGCTGCAGACTGCTGCCACCTTTGCTCTTGGAACTACGACTACACACCACCGTAGCGATTCGCACTTTCGTGATACTGGTCGCAACATGCAAATATGTCGAGAGACTCGCTAGATGAACGGCTTAGCCAGTAGGATAAACGACCCCAAGAATACGACTATTCTTTACAGCGACAACATATTGAGTTTCTGATACACCTTACAAAGCTTTGTTTGAAAATAATAGGCAAGCCTGTCGACGTCTACGGTCTAGCCTTGTGATAAGAAATCTTGTCAAATAGGAAATTAGACTCTGGCCTCGCCCCCATAGCGGACCCCGCGTAAGATCCCGGAGGCCCGCGACTCAGCAGCCGATCGAGCAGCTGCACACTGTCTTCAAGAGATCAATGCGCTCACAGGGCCCGTTGGACAGCCACAAAGCAGTCGTTGACGCTCTAGAGAGCACGGTTCGTACCTGGGCAACACCGATGCGAGCTGGTGAGGAGCACGCAAAGAGCAGCAAGTTCGGAACATTCATGGTGCCGGACAGCTTGCTCACGATGGGACAACCTTCAAGCCCGGACAGTTGGATGATGACGGCCGGCGGCCTTCGTCGGTCGCCGTTCGGCGATCTGATCTTTTACCCGTCTGTGCCTGCGCTGCTCAAGCGTTTTCGCAGAGACGGACGGTTTTTGAAGGAGGTGACAACATCGATCAAGTTTTACGCCGTGGCGCAAGGCAAGCCAGTACCTGTCCCAGTCGGCATCGCCGAGGCCATGGTGAAGCAACTGCAAGCTTGCAACGTTGCTCGTTTGGAAGCTCTCTTGAAGGAGGAAAGGATCCTCCGAGAGGATCCCGAGAATCATCCTCAGGCACCGCTGAATTTCATTCTCTGTCTTACAATGCCATGTGGTCCGTTTTTGTGTTGTTTGGCAATCGCCCAAGCAGAACTACTTCGTGTGTAGTTGCTGGCACCACCAATGGTGGGGGCATTGCGCCCATCGTTACTGTATTGAGTGCTTTGTCGGCATCCGTAAGGTGGACGAGGAGGACCGAACCATCGTTGCACCCGCAGCGCAGTCTCGCGGTGCAAGCGACCGTTCCGACGACGAAAGCCAAACCCTGCCTCCGCGAAAGCGGAGGAAGCGGTGAACAGCTGAGCGAGGCGAACAGGTGCCCTGCGCCGGGAATTTCTAAAACACCTTGGCGAAGATGCTGATGTCGCACCCGATGCTGCGCAGCCGGCAGCCTCGGCAAAGGAGCCCGCCGGAGAGGGTGACGGTGCTCGTGGTGCTCGTGACGGTGACGGAGAGGGCGACGGAGAACGCGAAGCTGTTGAAGTGGACTAGCCCCGCGACGCTCCGGGCATTCCACCTTTGGATGGGGGTGGTCGTGACGGTGACGGAGAGGGTGACGAAGCCGAAGCTGTTGAAGTGGACGAGCCACCTCCGGCACGGATGGAAGCAGGCCAGATTCGAGACGTAGTGCAAGGTGGTTTGTTCCGGAACCGCGATCCCCTCTTAGACTGTGCTCATGAGGCTGCAGAGGGCATCATGAGGACGCTTCCTGGCGACATGGGTCGCAATGGGCCTGGAAGCCAGAATGCTAAGCGAGCAGCTCGACGCGCGGCTATTCGTGACAGCCGCCAGCTTCGCAAGAGTTGCGAAGGATACCTTGAAGGAGCTTGAGGGCGGTGAAGGCAAGCGACTGTCGCCTGATGCCATTCTGTGCTTGCAGACGGCGTTGGAAGAGGCCATTTCTCGGCTCCTTGGTGACGGCCAAATCCTAGCCAATCACTGTCGCCGCGCAACTTTGTTTCCGTGCGACTTGCGTGTGGCTTTGCTCCTCCGGGAGCGTGCCGGCGACCCTTTGGTGGATGGATGTCTCGACAAGCTTTGAGCAGCTTGAGCGTGAGAGGGAGAGGACTGCGGGATGCCTTAATGGGTGGGGTCCGGTTTTTGAGCCTCCTGTGCCCTTAAAACGTAAAAAACGGACCCCCGGAAGAACTCATCAGCCATTACAGCTGGGGTCCGCCCTCCGCAACAACCTGCAGGACTGCGACGAAGCGAACTTGCTTTGGTTCGGCTTGAGCGTGAGAGGGAGAGGACTGCGGGATGCCCTTAACGGCCCGGGTCCGGTTTTTGACCCTCCTGTGCCCTTAAAACGTAAAAAAAAAAACGGACCCCCGCAAGAACTCATCAGCCCTTACAGCTGGGGGGTCCGGTTTTTGAGCTTCCCGTGCCGGATAAACGTAACAAACGGACCCCCCCCCCACGCCCCTCTGCAACAACCTGCAGGACTGCGACGAAGTGACCTTGGTTTGGCTCGGGGCAGACACGTCCGTGCTTTTCAGTGAAGACTGTGCATAGATGTTGCTGCTGCCAGAGATGTCTCTGCTGCATAGATGCTGAAGGGGGTTGCCGAGCAAGAAACAGCTGCTTGCGTCAGAGGGTCCGACCAGTGCACAGTCATGTTAGGTTCGATTTTCAAGCGTGGTATCTGCGCGTCTTTGTCGTAGTTGTACTGTAAAGTCATGAACCCATGCGTGGTAAGAGCGCCGTGTCACTACTCGTACTCGTACTCGTACTCCTAGTCCTAGTCCTAGTCCTAGTCCTAGTCCTAGTCCTAGTCCTACTCCTACTCCTACTCCTACTCCTACTCCTACTCCTACTCTACTCCTCCTCCTCCTCCTGCTGCTGCGGCGCTGCTGCTCTGCTGCTGCTGCTGCTCCTGCTGCTCCTGCTACTCCTGCTGCTACTGCTGCTACTGCTACTGCTATTGCTACTGCTCCTAGTGCTGCTGCTTCTGCTGCTGCTGCTGCTGCTGCTACTGCTGTTACTGCTGCTACTGCTGCTACTGCGTCTGCACTTCTGAAATGCCGTGTCGCTCAGGTCACAGGGGATATCGACCGATTCAGTCCGCAAGGCCGGGGCTTGCCAGTAGCATCGCAGCAGCGTTCTTCGCATTTCTACGGAGGCACTTTTGTTGTGTGAACCCCGACGTTGTGCTCAGGGTCTATTTGAAGGTGTGGGATGCTTTCCATGTTGCGAAGGGTAACAGGCTCAGCGCTGGCTGAGTTTCAAAAACATGCGGGTTCGAGCTTAGGATCATGCTGGGAAAGTTAGTGTTGCCAAAGAGCCCAATGTCTCAACCCTGATCTGTGCATTTGGAATCCGGGCGTGGCTGTGCCCTGTGATATATGCTGACAGAGGGCAACGACAAGGCAGTAGCAGTAGCAGGACGAGGCTCAGCCTATTTGCAAGAGATTCATTGAAACGTCTGAGCATCTCTGCGAACCAAAGCATGTTCATCGAGTCATCAACCCAACCTCGTTCGACGATTTGCGGGAAGGGTAGGCCAGCTTTAGGTGACGAGCTGATGGGTTGCAGCGCCAAGCCCTTCTGTCATTGACGCGACAGGGTAGTCTGAGTTCATTGCTTTTTGTGAAGACGTACTCCCGAAAGAGTCACATCTGTTAGTCAGCAAAGTTAGCAATGCCGGCGTGAAAGCCTAAGCGTCAAACAGAAACATGAACTTTTCGCTGCCAGGAACTGCAAAGGCGTCCTGGTCACTTGCCACTCTCCGTGTCAGGAGGTGTCTGTGGCAGCTTGCATTGTAGATCTGCAGTTTCCATGTCAGGAGGCAGGTTTGACCCGCAGGGCTGTTCAGCCCCTGCGTAGCTCGCCAGTCAAGTCATCATTGCGAAAGTAGCTGGACTAAGCCGCGACAGAATGAGACAGTGTGGAGTGGATGTTGGAGAAAGGAGAAATTTTGGGGGCCCTTCAGTTGGGAGCTCTTCTGATGTGTTGGCACAGGCAGCTGCTGCCATGTGCCGCCGTGAAAGCGGTGCGGGAGCGCTTGGGAGAGTTCCATCTGCCTGGAGCCTTAAGAGTGTTTCTGATTTTTCGTCATGACTGTCTTTGCTATTGTTATTGCGTTGAGCTCGCCTACCAAAAGAGCTGAGGCAGAGTTCGACCAAGATCGTCTGGTGCAGCGTTGTCAGGACCCTGTCCATTGACGCCTCCAGTTGTGGCTAGTTGCATTGGATGATAGTCGGCATGAACATCCCCATGAGGTTTTATTGATGGAGCCGCGGCAGCTGAATCCAATGCTGGATGCAACTTTGACGGCGGCCTGGGCACCCAGCAGTGGCCGGTTTTGCGGGGGTGGCGGCTCATGTGCAGTATTGCGCAGTCAGGTCGAGAGGCAACCTGCCGACATGAGCTCACCCAGCGTTTTGCGCTAAGTGTCGATGAAGCAGGAAGTAAACATGTGTGGTGGTCTTTGCTGGCTTTGCAGGAAGCAAGGACCTGCTAACCTGCATGGTACTGAGGCTCACGCCTTGCTGTGGAGCTTGTGGACCACTGCCTTCCCGCACAGCCTGGGAAGCCTCTTCAAAGAGTCCAGAGCCCAGCAACTCTCTCGTGGTGCCCAGCTGACTGTTCACGGTGACTCATCTTTCAAGTTCCGGTTTTTCGGAATTCTTGCTGAAGCTGCCAGATGTTAAAGCTCGAGCCAAAGAGGTCCAATCTGTACCGAACTGTTTGCCCGGCTGCCAGGTGGCTGCATCGAGGAATCGATCTGGGTGATATGTCGACCGCGGTCGAGGCTGTCCCCAGCTTGTCTCCGCATGGCAGGTTTACTTGGAGCGCCCAAGGATTTCAATCCAATCCTCACTCTTTGGTCAGGTGCTCCTCGTTGATTCGGAATGGAAGCGAGACCAGGATGAGGCGAGCTTGGTTTTCAATAGACAAAGAGTAAGGAAATCCAGCCTTGGGCCAAAACATCTTGCTTGTTCGTGCATGTGGTGAGGACTTGACTTGGATGTGCTTGCTTCAGCACACGAGCCGTCGTGGAGCCTGCCAGGAGGCTGAGACACTTCTCAACCTTGGGCTGTGCAGCTGCAAAATCAGCAACATACTCCATTACCTTCCCAAACGTGCCTTCACGTGCTTGCAGCCCGCAACAGAAGGTGATGCGCAAGTATTGTCGAGATCGAGAGCTTCCGAGTTGGGTTCGTGTGCAAGAAGGCCCCTGGAACGAGACAAAGGTGGGCTGCAAGCAGTCTCTGTTCGAGGGCGCCATAATACACGTTGGAAGAGGCGCGTTGTGCAGCATTTCCGGGGTGTCTGCAGGTCAGCAAAAACAAGCCTGAACTGGCAGGGAGCATAAGACGCAGCATGTTCTTCCAGTCACTTTCTTTCCTTATCGCTCGCTCGCTCGCTCGCTCGCTCGCTCGCTCTCTCTCTCTCTCTCTCTCTCTCTCTCTCTCTCTCTCTGTCTGTTTGGGCGCATGTGTTCGCACTGTTCTACCCAAGGCCAAGTACATGCAGAGGTTCGCGAATCTCGAAAAGTTCGCACAACCAGCATCAGGCGGCAGGGTTTGTTCGCGTGAGTGCACGGCATCGTCTGGAATGAGCAGGCAACCATTGGGAGAAGCTCGGCGCAGTCATTGACTTTGTGGAGCATCGCCTTTCTGCTGCTGCTCCCCAGGCCAGTGGCCTTTTGTTGACCGTCAAGCCTGGGTCGAAAACAAGACAGCCTTGAGTCGGAAGCGCCTCGGACATCCTCGGACACAAGTTGAACACCTTCTCGGAGAAAGCCCCAGAAGTCCTGAAAGCTCATGATCTCGGATGAACCAAGGTTTAGGAATTTTGGGCTTTAAGGGTTTTAGGGTTTTAGGATTTTCAGGGTTTCAGGATTTTAGGGTTTTAGGCTTTAAGGGTTATAGGTTTTTCGGGTTTTAGAGTTTAGTGGCTTTAGGGGTGTAGGGTTGAGGGCCCCCAGAGAAAACCCCCGCAAGTTTATGATCTCGGATGTGCTAAGCTTTAGGGTTCAGGGTTTTGGGGCTTTGGGTTTTGGGGCTTTGGGTTTCGGGGGTGTTGGGTTAGAGTTTTAGGTTTAGGGTTTTTAGAACCTATGTCATGTGCTCCTGCTTCGGACACAAAGGATGCCTATGAGGTTTAGGCAGAAAGTGTTTGAGGGTTCATGGCTTCAAGGTTTGGGGGGTAGGGCTGCAAGGTGTATTCAAGGTTTCAGGACTCTAACGGTTTCTGTGTTCTGGATGGTCAAGCTCAAAAACTGTTTCCCGCTGCTTCCTGATTCGCACTGCTTTGTTGTCTGTATCGTGCTGCAATGTTTTCTGAGTCTTTTTGTTTTCGGACTCGACCCATCTTGTTTTCGACTCATTTTCTCGACTCACCGGTAACCCATGCCTTTGTGTTCATATCAATTGTCTTCGCTTGTCAGTGTATGGTGTGAATTCGAAAACGACATGAAGTCTAAGGCTTAGCCGAAGGTGACTAAAGCATGGCACGCGCATGACTGGGAAGGTACCCGGTACTGCAAGCGAGATCCTGCGCTTGCTCGACAGCTTTGCACAACGACGAGAGCACTGGCTTAAGGCCGGAGCCTAGGACCTATGCACAGTGTGAACACTGACATAATCTGACACATCTCTCCTGACCCCACCTGCCTATCTCTGGCAGGTTGCGGGCGGGGCAAAGGCCGAGGTACTCGTGTACACGCACGGCTTGAGGACCTGGCAACCCTACGAGGCGCGACGCCTGCCCGCCAAGAGCCGCTGGTAATGAGTCCCTCGCTCCCAAATCATGGTAAGAATGATAAACAGGTGTTGAAGATCATCTGTCTGAATGCAATCTTATTGGTATATTAGCCCTTTTTGGGCTTGAGAGGATCTTATCTGGGAGTTCCCAAGCGTTCGTGAGATATACGAGTCGATGAGCAGCCAAAACGTATCGTGGATGAGATGCAAGGTTGTCGTGGAGTGCGGCACTTTCATAGGCAGCTGCTGCAGAAGACGTGATCTCTTGCGATGTCATTGTTGCAGTTGCAATATGTTGCAATCTCGAACGTCTGACAATGAAACCTCCAGGCTACTCCGCAATTCGGCTGGCCATGCTGACCTGCCGAGAAGAGGCTCCGGACAAGACCAGGCCCCGTGTCTTCACAATCGAGGCCGGCACACGTTTTGGATTACTGAAGCTGCCGCAGAGCTTGGGTGGAGTGTTTTTGGAGTTCACGACAGCCAGCTCCTTGGAGCTTGCATTAGTTCTTGTTTACTACTCTCAGTTCTTGGGCTGATTTTCCTGGACGACTTGGCATCACATTGAAGCGAATGTTTATCTGAATAAGATCCCCGCCCTCGCCCTTGGCCGAGCAACTTCTCCAAGTTAAATCCACGCCACTCTTAATTGCTCCTGCCAAAGAGCTTGGAGTTGCGTTTCCGCTCCCCGTGACACTAAGCCTTTTGTGGGCAAAAAAACCGTGTTCCTTGAAGCTGCTGACGCCATAAAGTTAAACGAATGTGGATGGCATAGAAGCCTTGCGCAGGTGGACCCCATCCAGGCCTGCATAGCCAGGCATCTCGTGGACTTAGCAGGTGCCACGGCCTCGATGCCGACCTTCACCAGTGGACCGATTGGGATGGCGATGACAAGTGTCCTAAGTTAAATGCCCTCTGTTTTATCTTCAGGACAAAAACGAAAGGGCTTTAGGTTCGTTTATAAGAGATCCATATAGGTGGTGGAGGTGTTGTCGCTGTCTGTCGACAATTGCCAGCATCTCGAGTGAATCGAGTTTTGAGTCATGATATTGCCAAGGTGTCGTTTGCAGTGGAAGTTGCCATTGGGCAGGCACAGGGTTGGCTTTGATGGCTCACTGCTAGTTTCATTGATGACTTGACCTGGAAGCAGGTGCGTGACGTCCTGCCCAAAATCGTCGAACTCTTTGGGGCTGAATCTGTGGGAATGGTCTTCATGGATTACAAGGCGCGAAAAGCGAACGCTTGATTGACACAAAGAGTCCGTCACAAGTGTGCTGTCAGTGGAAAATGGTGCAGCAGTGACAATGTTGTAACCGTTTGGCACTTGTCCACGATGCAAAAACCAGCAGCCCAGCCCTTTAGCGACTTGACACGCGAAGGCAAGGAAATTGAGAGCATGGTTTCTCGAATCGTGCTGTTTTGTCCGGTGCTGACTGCGTTGATTTGCGTTGATCTTACCGACATAGGATACACACACACACACACACATCTTGTCACAACGCGAGGAAGTCAACTGTACATCCTCATTCATCGGCGCGAAATCTACATGGGTAGACTGGTAGACATCTTCCTCAGCACATGCTCCCGGAGGCAGAGGCAAATTCCTTCTTGGGATGACAAGGGGAGGAGCACCCGTCCACATTTTATATATCTGCCATCTATCAGAAAATTACTGAGTGCAGCAAAAGCCGTTACACAACCTGAGCACCAAGATTTCGCGGATTGGCTGCGGCTTTCGGGTCTTTCAACATTAGCAGCAGATGCTGGAGGTTCAAGATTGGTGTACAGTCGCATGTTCAGCAGTGCCAGGGTACGGCTTTCCATTCCGACTTGGACACTTTGGCTTGTGCCTCACAGCTCTGTCAGCATGTCAGCAGAATTTGAGGGTAGGAAGATCAGACCCTGAGGAAGACACCGGAGCACTAGGCCGGTCCCTCGATTCCTCGTCAATTTCGTGCGTGGCCGTTAAAAATTTGAATCTCGGCCCTGGCAGGCACGGATGCCCGCCTTCTGGCGGACAACGTGGCGTTGCCAGGCTCAACTTGAGGGTAACCGAAAGAGAGCACTTCCAAACGACCAGAGCTTCCCTTGAAGCGAGGAGCGCCTCTCTTACTCTGGCACCTGGCTTTTAGTCCGCAGGGGCCCAACTGCTTGGCAGAATTCACGGTGCCCTCTCGACACGGATCCAGCTGAGGTCTTGGGAGCTCGTTGCGTACGCGATGATGGAGTTTCTCGAGCCCAACACGGAGGACTGGATGGCTCTGGGGAGGCCCATATCGGCACACCTGCGGGGATCCGCGTGCCTTACATGGCAACCAGGTACCTTGGCCCTGCAGGGCCGGCACCTCCCGCACCGGAGAGTTGGCATCACCTGTCCTGGCACACTGTGCCTCGACATCTGATCACTTTGAGATGCACTCCTATGTAAGTGATATTGAGTGATGTAAGTGGGTTGCGGGCCGTCTGAGGTGACCTACCAAAAAGCTAGGAAGCAGGAGATGTTTGTGGCAGGTCCAGTTTCAAACCTTTTAGGACTTCAGAAGCATTCTGAGTCTAATTAAACGGCTCGTGAAGATGCATGTCAAAAGGGCTGCGTTGGTGAGACACGGCAACACCTTTAATCGTCGAAGCCACTGTACGGTGCAGGAGCAACACATCCTTAGCTAGCAGGTGAACCGTATCAGAAAAATTATATACACATGTATATATATATATACATGAAACACATGTACATATATATTTTAAGGGGCTGCGCCCATGGGCGGGCAGCGCAGGCAGAAGCGCGGGGCGAGCAGATCCGTCAAGGGTTTAGGGTTTAGGGTTTAGCGTCCTATGCCCGCCCTTTGCGGGGCATCATGCTCCTGATGCGCCCCCGGGGTCCCCTGATGCGCGCCTGGGGGTCCCGGGCTGAACCCGCTGATGCTCATGATGCGCGCCCCTTGGGGGGCATCATGGGGCATCCGCGCCCGTCCCATTTTTCGTGCCTCAACCCACGAAAACCGACCGGGCCGCGAAAGGTCGGCGGCACTGGCGTTCGGCCTAATTCTGCTTCGCAGAAGGCCAGAGGCCAGCAAGGCTATTCCCGGGACGACCCGGGCTAAAAGGTCCGCCAATGCTCGGTCCTTGGGGACCTCGCGCTGCCCGATTTAATGGCTACCGCCAGTGCCGCCGACCCCTTCGAGGCAAACGCACCAGGCGGATAAAGAGGTCCCTTATCGAGTTTGGGGTATTCCCTGAACCCCAGACCCGAAACCTTAAACTCCGAAACCCCAAGCCCTAAAGCCCTAAAGCTGGGTTTCTTTCTGAGTGCCCGGACAGCCCCCCCCTTCCAAGAAAACAAAAAAGCCATGTCCAGGGAGGCCATGAGGGTCGAGGGGATGGAGGGATGGGGCCGGGGGAGTGGGCGGAGCGGCAAGGGCGGAGCAGGGAGCGGGCGGAGCAAGCGGAGGGGGCGGGCTCCTTTAACGTGATGGGGGTGAAGGGGATGGAGAATGGGACCATGGGCCAATCGGGCCAGGAACCATGGTGGGGGCCATGGGCGTCCAGGGGTAGGGCCAGGGGGGAGTAGGCGGAGCAGGAAGGGCGGAGCGGGCGGAGCAAGCGGAGAGGGCGGGCATGCACTGGGGCCCTTTAAAGTCAGCTGAGAAGCCATGTCCATGGACCCTGGGGGTCGAAGGGATGAGTCAATGAGGCCAGGAGCCATGGGTCCACGACAGGCATGGGCGGGGTGCGTGGGGTGGGCAGGAGCCAGGGAGGGCCAGGGGGGAGTAGGGGAAGGGCGGAGCGAGATGAGGGGATGACCATGAGCCAATGGGGCCAAAGACTGGGACCATGGGGCCAATGGGGCCAGGAGCCATGGGTCCGTGGGGGGTGGGGTGAGGGTTGGGGTAGTCGAGGGGGCTTTAAAGTCAGCCGAGAAGCCGTGTCCAGCAAAGCCACAACGGCAAGGGCGGAGCGGAGGGCGGACGGCAATGGGGCCAGGAGCCATGGGCCATGGGGGTCGAGGGCGGGCGGAGCAAGGCCAGAGAATGGGACCAAAAAGCCCTGAATCTGGTTGGGGGTTTAAAGTCAGCCAAGAAGCCATGTCTAGGGAGGCCATGAGAGTCGAGGGGATGGAGGGATGGGGCCAGGGGGGGTTGGAGCGGGGAGTGGGCGGAGCAAGCGGAGGGGGTGGGCATGCACGGGCCCTCTCGGGTGATGGGGGTCCAGGGGATGGAGAGTGGGACCATGGGCCAATGGGGCCAGGAGCCATGGTGGGGGCCATGGGCGGAAGGGCGGAGGGGGCGGAGCGGGCGGAGCAAGCGGAGGGGGCGGGCATGGAGTGGGGCCGTTTAAAGTCAGCTGAGAAGCCATGTTCATGGGGGGTGCGCAGGAGTCATATGAGGCATGTCCATGGCAGCCATGGGGGTCGAGTGGGACCATGGGCCAATGGGGCCAGGAGGCATGGTGGGGGCCATGGAGGTCAGTTAGGGGGGGAGCAGGCGGAGCGGGAAGGGCGGAGCGGGCGGAGCAAGCGGAGGGGACGGGCATGCACTTGGAGCCCTGCTGAGAAGCCACGTCCAGCCAATGGGGCCAGGAGCCATGGGTCCATGAAGGGCATGGGCAGGGGGCGGGGTGCGTGGGTGGTGGGGGTGGGCAAGTGGGCGGGCATGCACTGGGGTGCGGTGGAGCTTTGGTGGGGCGGAGTTGGTGGTAGGGAGCCAGTAGGGCAAGCGGGCGGGCATGCGCTGGGGCCAGCAAGCGGAGGGGGCGGCATGCACTGGCGCCCTTTAAAGTCAGCTGAGAAGCCATGTCCGAGGGGATGGAGAGTGAAACCATGAGCCAATGGGGCCAGGAGCCATGGGTCCATGAGGGGCATGCGCGGGTGCGTGAGGGGTGGGGGTGGCAGCAAGCGGAGGGGGGCGGGCATGCACCGGGGCCCTTTAAAGTCAGCTGAGAAGCCAATGAGGGGCATGGGCGGGGTGCGTGGGGGGTGGGGGTGAGGGTTGGGTGGAGCAGGAGCCATGTGAGGGGGGAAGGAGCGGGCATGCACTGGGGCCCTTTAAAGTCAGCTGAGAAGCCATGTCCATGGGGGTCATGGGGGTCGAGGGGTAGGCGGCCAGAGAACCGTAGCGGGCGGAGCGGAGGGGGCGAGCATGCACTGGGCCATGTCCATGGACCATGGGGGTCGATGGGATGGAGTGGGACCATGAGCCAATGGGGCCAGGAGCGATGGGAAGGGCGGAGCAAGCCGAGCGGGCAAGGGTGCATTGGGGCCCTTTAAAGTCAGCTGAGAACCAGGGAGGCATGAGGGTCGAGGGGATGGAGGGATGGGGCCGGGGGAGTGGGCGGAGCGGCAAGGGCGGAGCGGGGAGCGGGCGGAGCAAGCGGAGGGGGCGGGCATACACAGCTCCTTTAAAGTGATGGGGGTGAAGGGGATGGAGAATGGGACCATGGGCAATCGGGCCAGGCAACCATGGTGGGGGCCATGGGCGTCCAGGGGTAGGGCCAGGGGCGAGTAGGCGGAGCAGGAAGGGCGGAGCGGGCGGAGCAAGCGGAGGGGGCGGGCATGCACTGGGGCCCTTTAAAGTCAGCTGAGAAGCCATGTCCATGGACCCTAGGGGTCGAAGGGATGAGTCAATGAGGCCAGGAGCCATGGGTCCACGAGAAGCATGGGCGGGGGGCGGGGTGCGTGGGGTGGGCAGGAGCCAGGGTAGGGCCAGGGGGGGAGAGGGGAGGGGGAAGGGTGGAGCGGGCGGAGCCAGGAGATGAGGGGATGACCATGAGCCAATGGGGCCAAAGACTGGGACCATGGGGCCAATGGGGCCAGGAGCCATGGGTCCGTGGGGGGTGGGGTGAGGGTTGGGGTAGCGAGGGGGCTTTAAAGTCAGCCGAGAAGCCGTGTCCAGCAAAGCCATAGCGGCAAGGGCGGAGCGGGCGGAGCAAGCGGAGGGGGCGGGCATGCACTGGGTGGAGACGGGGACCATGGGCCAGGAGCCATGGCGGAGCAGGAAGGGCGGAGGGGGCGGAGCAAGCGGGGGGGGCGTGTCCAGGGAGGCCATGAGAGTCGAGGGGATGGAGGGATGGGGGTAGGGGGGGGAGTGGGCGGAGCGGCAAGGGTGGAGCGGGGAGTGGGCGGAGCAAGCGGAGGGGGTGGGCATGCACGGGCCGTTTCGGGTGATGGGGGTGGAGGGGATGGAGAGTGGGACCATGGTGGGGGCCATGGGCGGAAGGGCGGAGGGGGCGGAGCGGGCGGAGCAAGCGGAGGGGGCGGGCATGGACTGGTGGGCAGGAGCCATATGAGGCATGTCCACGGCAGCCATGGGGGTCGAGTGGGACCATGGGTAATGGGGCCAGGAGGCATGGGGGGGGCCATGGGGGTCGAGGGGTAGGGTTAGGGGGGGAGTAGGCGGAGCGGGAAGGGCGGAGCGGGCGGAGCAAGCGGAGGGGGCGCCCTTAAAGTCAGCACGTCCAGCCAATGGGGCAGGAGCCATGGGTCCATGAAGGGCATGGGCAGGGGGCGGGGTGCGTGGGTGGTGGGGGTAGGGCAAGTGGGCGAGCTTTGGATGGGGCGGAGTAGGTGGTACCATGGGGGCCATGGGGGTCGAGGGGTAGGCGGCCAGGGGGGGAGTAGGCGTAGCGGGCGGAGCGGAGGGGGCGAGCATGGGATGGAGTGCGGGGTGCGTGGGTGGTGAAGGTAGGGCAAGCGGCGGGGAGCGGGGTGCGTGGGTGGTGGGGGTAGGGCAAGCGGGCGGGCATGCACTGGGGCCCGGTCGAGCTTTGGATGGAGTAGGTGGTAGGGGCAATGGGTCTTCACTGACGCCGCCCTTCTCGGGGTCGGCGGATATATATAAGGTTTTATGTGAAGATACAATGCACTCATAGGCACTGACTGTAACGGTTGCATCTTAGCTTGGTTGACCGAGGATCATATGCGCCGCAGGGCCTGTGGGCTTCGGCCAACGGAAGGCGACATGCTGCCACCTCAGCGTCGTCGTGACATGGTAGCATCGTGAAAGCCAGATCGCAAAGACATGCAAACATTTCCAAGCTTTCGTTTTGGACGACTGACTGGCTATTGTACCACACGGAACCCGGTGTTCCTGGAAGGAAGGAACGAAAGAACGACAGAAAACAAGAGGATGAGGGCTGGCGCAGCCAAGGTTTGAAGCTGACCGTGTTGCCTACTCCAAGCATGTGAGGAGCGGTAACTTGTGTTTCGGCAGATTCCTCTGATTTTTTTGTGTGGTTGGAAGCCGGAAGTGCGCTGCATGGCAGGCGTCACTACCACGCTGCGGGCATTCAGGCACGTGACAGCATGAAATGAGCAGTCCTCATGGCGAATCCCATGCTGCATCGGGTTTAGGGTTTGTCTGGATTTGTTCAGGTTTCTGTATCAGTTCGCAAAAGTTGCATGCGCTGCAGGCCCTTCCCTGGCACGGCAATGCTCAGGACAGGTTGCAGCCCACTGGCTGAAGCAGCGTGCTATGCAGCATCGTCAGTTGCCAGGCGCTTTTCGAATAATTAACTCCGACACCTGCAGGACTTTCTGCCACGACCAAGCACTAGTGCGATAGTGGAAGAAATGAACCGGCAGCTGATTTTCCAGATGCAGTGTCCCAGCCAGAAGGGCACGATGCAACGTGCAACTCCAGCGCTGATGTTCTTGCCATGCCTTGGTTGCATGCTGGCTTTGGTGACCAAAGTCGCGAGGGCCCTCTGAAAACCGTTGAGTGGCTGCAGTGGACTGAAGAAGCGATGTGATGTTAGCTTGCTACAGTCCTCAACTACTACAGGTCTGCCAACACATCTCAGCACAATCCGAGTACTCCCCCAGGCCTAGGTGTGCCTACAGGCCCCATACTCATGCACATGGTCGTGAGCCATGGGGCAGCTTACAGGTGCCCTCAGTGACATGCCTTGTGTACCCATCCTCCGCATTCCAGCGCGGTCATGCATGCGCGAGGTCGACTGGCCCTGGGAGCTGTCAGCGCGGCAGCAGAGGCACCGAGTCGCACCCCAGAAGGCTTTCCCCCGAGCACTCCGGATCTCCGTAGTCTCTTGGCTTGAGGACTACATGGCCAGAGTCGATCCATCCATACACACGTGGACGAGGTGAGAGCCCTTTTCCCCCCTGTGGTCCCTTCTTTGTCTTATTTGTATCTACTCTGCCAGGGCCCCTAGGCCCCGAAGTGGCTTGACTGTGCACACTTGATCAGGACCGTTCGCGTGGCCGAAGAGACGTGCCGTCTCTGCAAGTCAAGACCTAGACAAATTCATTATACTATTGGAACATGATTTAATCTTACACAATTTGTCGAAGGTTCCTTCTTCTGGAGATGCATCAAGGGCACCTCCGAGCGTTTTGGAATGGAGATGCAGAGGTGGACCTGCCGCAGCCCTATCCTGGTCAGATCTAAAAGCTCTGTTTTCATGACTGCTGACAGACGCTTGTCAAGATTCGCTCCAGGCCAGAAGAGCAGCAAGAGGAGCTACTGAATGTATTCCCTGCAGATGCGCTCACCGTGGAAGCCCGTGTGCCACAAATCCATGGTGAGAACTGGGCGGCCAAGCTCCGTCGGCAACTGGGCTCAAGGGATTCACTGATTCACATGTGTCGACATGAGCTTTGCAGTTCTAAGCTCGTCTTCAATCGCCAAGCTGTGGGATCGTTTGAGGCTGTTTGAGCCTGGATCTGAGGCATGCTGTGGGACACCGCGTGGATCCAAACTGTGCGGTGAACAGCGAGAATCACTTGGAGAAAGAGATCCTGGCTCCTTGGCTACGGCTTCACGATCGCTCCCTCTCACTCTCAATCCCACTCCACACTCTCACTCTCACAGTCTCGCCTCTCTCCCTCTCTCTCTCTCGCGCTTCTCTGTCTTCTCGTTTTATCCTTTTATTGGGCTTCAGGGTTTGGAGCTCAGAGTTCAGGGTCCTGGCCAACCCCAATGAGAAGTCCGCAAGACTTTGGTGCATCCCAACCGTTGAATCGTCGCCAGCTGGAGAATGCTTGCTGGGACCCTTGCATGGGCCGGGCCCTGGACCGTTCCTGTGGGTCGGGGTACGAGACACGGCTAGTGTGGCCGCGACTTCGTAGATGTATGGCGAATGCTGGAACTTGCCCCCTACTTCCACCACACGTCCCAAGGGCAAGACATCTGAATCATTACTGATGTCCCCATGTTGAACAATGGGTGTGATTTCTGCTGGAACATGTGCAGGCAGAATGGGCACGACTTATGCGTGCGTGAATCCAGCGTCAAGCAGTGAGACAATATCCATCGACCATGGTTTACACATTGGATGAGCTAGGATTGCTGAGTTTACTCCGAGGTTGTTTTCCGCCAGCTGCGCAGTCCCTCGTCTCCCTGATCTGCTAGCCGATGGTGTGAGTTGAGTGCATAAAGTGGCACCATGCTGAACTGTAATGTTCTGAGGTCGTCCTCTTGGTTCCGTGTTGACCTTTGGGGGCCTGTATGGTGGTGTCCACGGCAGAGGCGCCATGTTAATGCGGTTGTTACTGTGCGGGTTCTTGCGAGTTACAGTGCGCATCAGGAGCCGATGTGCCGGATGATCCTGCTGTTGAGCTCATGTTGGAGCTGCAGTGTCTGGATGCAATATACACTGGCAAGGCTCAAGAGTGTCCATGAGATGCAAACTTTAACTTGAGAAAGAACTGTGACGATGCATCGCTCTGCCATGAGATCCAAGGCGATTGGGCACCTCGCAAGTACAGGGGCTGTGTGTGTTCTGCGACGGCGATCAGGTGCGTGCAGTGATTCTTCAGTGCAAGTGATTTCGGACGTTTGGGATTGGAATGCACGCCTTGAGGTCACATCTCTTACACGGGCGAGCCAATTACAGAGCGCAGCTCAGCTTCTTCAGAGCTTTGCACCTGCTTTGGCCTGGGAAATCCAGTGCCCTCCAGAATTGGGAGGCAATGCGCATATTGAACCCTGCGGAAGAGCTGCGCTCGGCATCGCCGGAACTGACCCTTCCGCCAGAGTTTGCAGGCGGCTGCTTCTCCCGGCACATAGCAGCGTTTCTCAATGTATCTGATGCAGAGTGGTCATACTACACAGCACTGCGCCCGTTAAGCCCGGTTTTTTCCTCATATACGAAGCTGCACGAGTTGCCAGGTCAAGTTGACCTTCTCCGCCTGGATGCGCTCCAACATGCAGTCTCCTGCCAGCTCCTTCGCAACTTGTTGCGTGCCGGCGTCCCTGCCTGAGCTTTGCAGGTGGCACCTCTGGTTTTTGGCTCTTCGGGTTCAGTGGCTTGTGAGGGCCTGGTGGTGTCCGTTGAAAAGGTGCGGCCTCGGCTGGTGGCTCTTTTGGTGCTCAGCCAGGTGCGGCTATGTCTTTAAGTGTGTCTGATGTGTGCAAGCTTGGGATGTAATGGGATGCTTTTGTTGGGACATCTTGTGGCACAGGTGCCGCCGCCTTTCAAGTACTTTCCGCTCAGCTGGCTGGCTGCACCTGTCTACCGTCGTCCGTCATCATCCGTCATGCTCGGTTTCTTCGCTTTCTGTTCTTTTGCGTTGTACGTGTAAGCGTGTGATCACGCAGTCGAACCTTGAAGAGGGCTAGTACCTGCATTTCGGTGAAGAGCTCCTTGAAGAAGTATACAGCGCACGTCATTGCTCATCGGCCGAGTACACGCAAAGTGCCCATTGCGCTTGCAAAGCAAAAGGATGAAGTTGGTGGTAGAGCTGAGGCGTTCCCGGGCATGACGCTCCTCCGGCTTTGATGACGTGCTCGCTATCTGGAGCAATAGAGGCAGCAAGATGCAGCAGTGTCGGGATGAACAAGAAAAAACTTGCACACTGGAGACGATCTTGGCACATGTTGTAGCTGGATTTGTCGCTCCCTCCAATGAGAACATAGATTGCGGATGGTCAGGTGCTACTCAAGTATGACCTGTTCTTGATCCGCTTGACTGGCCCATATGCGCTGTTCGTGCAACGGAGCGAATGGCCTGAGGCACGCAAATTTTGCCGGAAACTGCATTGTCTGTCGACATTTTTCCCTGGCTTCCTGGTCCTTGCTGGGCATAGGAACTGCCCATCAACGAGTTCGACTGCTATCGCAAGGCGTCCGTGTGGGGCTTGGAGGCAGCCTCCGGATTCGTTCACACTTGAACTCTGGCCACGTCCGCTGGCCACGACAACGACTGCGCATGACCATCCGCAAGTTCCACGCCTCGGAAATCTCGTGTGACTGCAGGACATTCCCCTGCCATTTGTTCGCGAGTGGCTCCGGGAAGATGTAGATGAGGCAGCGTAGGTTGAGCCACAACGTGCAAGTGAACGCCTTTACTGCAAGCCTATGACAGGTTCTACCACGGCTGTGGAGAAACCTCAGCCAATTGCACTTCGACGGGGGCCCCTTCACCTTGGCTGTGTGAAACGCGCTTAGCCAGTCCCTCGGAGAGGGCAGTGCAGAGCACACAGAGAGTACGTAGAGCACTCCGGCGGAGGATTGCAAAAGAAATGGCTCTTCTTGCAAACCCACGCCGCTCTCTCTGCTCGTCGCTGCATGTGGTGTTGCTTTGCTGCTTTGCAGCTTGTGGCTGGGATCCTCACGCTTCTGCAGATTTTGTCAGCGTGCAAGTTGGGGAGAGTAGCGCGAATCCGCAGAGCTTGCGGATCCATGGACGCCATGGAAATGGCTACCATGCCAACACCTTTGGAACTTTGACAGCACTTTGTGAAAGGTGCTTTTTGCTAAAACACAATTTTGGTTTTAGCAAACAAGCCCGCTAGTGTGACAAGAGTGATAGGTTTCATCGCCGTCCTCCGCACGGAGCAGCTTGCGTGGGCGAGGCTCTGATTGCTGATCGATTTTCAGAAATCTCCGTAGTCAGTTTGTTTGGTCAGTCTAATAAGACCTGACAAATTTTTCGCCCCTTTGCAGGAACCAGCAGTGTTGCAAAGCCTTTGGGCAGCCTAGCTTGTGTCTCAGATCCGACTTCAAAATCTTTCCTCGTTAGTGAGATGGTGTTTATGGAGCCATGTGGAAGCGTGAGCCTATGCAGTATCACATAGAAGCACCGTTCTTCTTCGCCTCCTCCCTTCATCAAATCTGTGGCTGACTTGCCAGCTTGTTTACTCAGAGACAGCGACTTTCAGAACATGTGAGGGCAAACAAATGGGACACATGACATGTGCTGCTTCTCTTAGGCACCCTTCGGAAGGCCAGAGGCTCCAACTTGGCATGCAGGTGGGCCCTGTTTTGTCCGAGTTCACTGCCGTCCGTCATCGTATGTAAGAAGGAACGGAAGAAACGCGCACGTGCCAGCACTAGTTCTGTGCAGTGAAGCTTAGGACATCCCGAAGCAGCAGAGCTGTGGGTGTAAGGCCGTTCCACGCGCCCATACAAACCCTGCAAATCCTGTGCCAGGATGTTTGGCCTCAACGGTCATGGTGGGCTCGGTGGTGGCCTCCAGGCAAGCCCATCTTGCCAAACACGAGATAAGAGGAGAAAACATGTTACTTCACAAGTTGGAAACGTCCTGTAGATTTGCATGCAAGTTGCGCGTTAAAGCACTTGCTTCAAGAGTATGTGCTTCGCGAATGCAGCAGAGGCAGACCAGACGAAGGTTGCACAGCAGACACCTGCGGCAAACCTGCAGGGCTGCAGATTCGCCAGCTCGCGCCTGAGATGCTTCTGTCTTCGTATCACTGTGTCACCGTCACGACAAAGCAGCCATGCGTGTAGCGTACAGTGGCATGCCATGCATGTCACCCATGGCCGCATGCCAGGTTGTACTAGAGGTCAAAGAAGTGGAAGCCAAAAGCTCTGACCTGAGACTAGAGGAAGCACCAGGCCACCAGACTTTGTCAACAAGTCATGTCCCACTGCCAGGCACAGATGAGGACGAAAAGCAGATCCTGAAGGGGCTCAACCTCACAATAAAAGCTGGCGAGGCTCAATGCTCAGATTCAGTCAGGTCTGGTGTAGGGGCTGGGACGGTTTGTACTGCAGCAGGTTCATGCTGTGATGGGGCCGAATGGCCTTGGGCTCAGCGTGCATCCGGCGTATTTGTGGCAGAGTGTTGCAGTGCAGTGCATTTGCTGCTCAGGCTCTGGAAAAAGCACGCTAGCTAAAGTTCTCATTGGGGACTCAGCGTATGAGGTGGGACGCAGAATGCCCACGAGACTGTCTTGAAACGCATGCAAGGATGTGCGACACACGCTGATACTTCGTGACATATTGTGACATGCCGCGGCATATTCTCGCATGCTGTGGCATATTTGAAGCTCTGCGGAGGTTACGCAGGGCAGTGCCAAGCTTGGCGAGGCTGATCTTCTCGACATGGAGCCTCACGTGGGTTCCACAGTCCACTGTTGCTGTTGGCTCTGGAGCAGCCTCAGAACCTCTCGCAGCATGTTGAGGAACGAGCACTGGAAGGACTTTTCCTCGCCTTCCAGTCACCTCCGGCAGTTGGTGGAGAAGCTTCCTCAGCCTGGGAAACCCCTTGCTGAACAACGCTTCAGCAATTGGCACCTCTGAGGTCAGCAACTTGGATTTCCTCCGAGCTGCATACAACGCGCAGAGACGAGCCTTGGACTCAGGCGGCATTTTGTCACAGCACATCCAGATCCGCTGGATCCGCCGATACCCTTTCAACATGGCTCAAGCTTTGAATGCTTGAATGTGCAACGTTGTTGCGTTAGACGGAGCCAACCTCCCAAGTAGCGCAGTCAACGATGAGACGAAACAGGGCTTGCTCCATTGCCCTTTGGCAGAAAGTGAATGCCATTTTGTGTACGCCCACAGAGAAAACGAGACCCGAAGCAGATTGACAAGTACTACATATCAAGAGCCTCACGTCAAAGTCAGATTTCGCCTTTGGTGGCGAATGTCTGCTGGCATACGACGCCGAAATGCCGGAACCTAAGCGGGGTGATGAAGGCTGAGATAAGACACTGCAAGCTGCTACAGTGTTACAAGCTTCAAAAGCTTCATGCCATCCATTGCACAGGTTCCTGGTGCTGGCGATTCAGCTGAGGGAGACTCACAGTCCGGAGCGCTCGAGACCTTGAAGAAGTTCGATGTCTACAACAAGGTGCCGACATGTGCAGAAGACAAGCTGTCTCGTGTCTGCTGACACACTGCTGCAGCAGAGCCTCACCCTATCTGAAACAGGTTCATGACGACTTCATGCAAAAAAGGCAGCTTGGGGGTGCCGTAACCCTGGTGACTTGTGCGATTCTTGCAGTGCTGGTGTACTGTGCCTCCATCGCACTAGTGAGTTTTCGGCCGTTCGTGTGTTCCAGCAGTGGCCTGACCATCACCCAACACTGAGTATCAAATCCATGGTGTCAAATTCCTTACCGGACCTCAGCTGCACACCCCCAGCTGCTAGTTAAAAGCCTTGTTCTACTTCTGTGTGTGTGTGTGTGTGTGTCTCCGCTTTGCATCACTGCCATCGCCCTTGCTTGCCATCCTCGCAACTCAGGCGAGGTCTGCGAATTCTTTAGTGTTGAGGTGCTTCACAGCATCACGGTAGCCAGGCAGCAAAACTTGGCAGAGTATCAGCAGTGGTGTGTCAGTGTACGCAGTTGCTCCAGATCTAGTTCTGAGACTTTTGAGAAACAGCTATGTAATTCGACCCATGCAGAGTGCTTTGTGTTGGTGCAGACTGTTCATCATCAAGCTCTGTTGTTATCATGAAAGATGAGAAAGTATGGCTGTCTTTTAGTTGTGCTTGCATCTTCTCGTCTTCGCTCAGGTCGACACGAACATAGACAGGAAGCTTCCCATTTCCTTGGACATAACTTTTCCGCATCTGCGGTGTTCCGAGGCAGAGCCGTTTGCAACGGTTAGCGGGCACTAGAGCGCACTTTGCAAGAAGTGGCTAGGCCATCGGTGTTCGCCCTCTGCTCACCAAATTCTTGTGGACAGGTGTCTGTGGACACTGTGGATTCTGCTGGCGATACGCAGGCTGTGCTTGGAAATAGATGTGAGTGATGTGAGGGGAATGGAGAGCTTGTGCGATCATCCCACAACTGCCGACAATCTTGACGACCTATTTCTAGAGCCGTTCAAGATAATGTAATGGGCAAGTACAGCCAGATGGCTGCTAATGTCTTTTGATGGCAGGTAGATGCCCACGGTGGCCTCGACATGCACAACTTGGATGCCGCTGGCAAGATGTCAGCAGGTCGGAACAGCTATCGGCTCAAGCTGATACTTTTCATCGCATTTCAGTCACGAGTTCCGACGAGGCGATCCTGTAGCTAAAGAAGATGATTGCTGGCCATGCTTAGAAGGCGAGGACGCGCAGCACAAGCTTTCTCCTCAGGTAGTCCGTCGCCTGGGTCTGGACATTCTGAATTTTGATCCTGCACCTTAGGTGCTGCAACAGCTGCCAAGCTCTGAAAAACGCATACAGCGACAAGGCAGGCACATACATCCGCACATGCCAGGAAGAGATTGGATTTCTGCCAGTCCCAGCTGAGTTCGAAGCCTTTGCACCACAATGTTTGGCATGTGAATGCTGACGGAGATAGTGCCGTGTATTACACGCAGCTTGAGGGCGTCAGCCCGAGATTCTTCGGAGCTTCGTCTTGACCCTCCTAGGGCCTGCCCTACTTCCACGTGCTGGATACGGCGATGCAATGCAAGAACTCCATTGGATGCCGAATACAGGGCAAGGTGGTCGTGAACAAGGCTGGCAGTGAACTGCGTGCCTTTGTAGCCTAAGCCAGGGCGGCCCTGCATCGAACCACCCCAGGTGAGTGGAAATATCCATGTGGCCTTGGGAAAGTCTGTGCGCCGGGATGGCAAGCTGGTCCATGAGTTTAACATCGAGGACATAGGCCGGTTCCGGCAAGAGCAAATTCGGACCTGGAGATGGACTTAAGTGGTTGCCTGGGAGCTCTAGTATTAATGCTTCTGTGGTCACTACGACCGTACCTTCCCCTTGCTAATTCGATTTATCGTCCAAGTGTGACATGTGAGACGTGTGACATTCAATATGATCAAAGGTGGTTGAAGCCGCATTGTACAGTACCACCTTAAGACATCTAATCGTGCCCCAGGCGATGGCTTCAACACATCGCATTACATTCAATCGATTACCTTCGGAAGCTTGGATCGGTTTGAGGAATGATGCGAAGTCATTAGTGTGGTAAAAGGCTTTTAGAAGGCCTTGCGCCGGTGCCTTCAGGAGAACATGTCTACGGACTTCAGTCTCCCCTTGAAGGTGCTCGCAAAATCGTCCTGCGCCCAGCACTTGCTCCGATTTGACACCTTCTGCAGGTAGAGGGGCTCTGCAAAGGCTGTAGAAGGCGACTGCACACGCATGCGAAGCTGCTAAACTGCTAAATGAATGGTTCACAAAGAATAATCCATCGTAATATTTGTTTGATCATCCAGCTCAGTATACTTCCCAGGGCACCCGCTTTACGACCACATACAGCCACACAAGGATGTTAAAGTTTCACTTATGACTAGTGACTTTCCACAACTTGTCTGGCGCGCTATAAGTCTTCATGCTGGTCTGAAGCATCGTTATGTTGCAAAGAGTCCGTTCTCCGGCAACATACAAGAGCAATCTTATGTGAGGTACTGTTTTGAAAGTTGTTTGCATGTTTCGCCGGGTTTGGAAAGTTGCAAGTTTGTTCTCAGTGTTTATATTTTCCTAGCTTGTTTGTCGCTGGAATTTTTCATTAGTATGTTTTTACCCACTGTTTTTGGCACTTCCTTTTGTATGTTGGAGCTATAGGCTGTTTACGAGAGTTGATCGACACTTGCATTTTCGCTCTCAGGGTCTCCATTTTCTCAACTTGTGCATCGCTGGTGTTTTCAATATGCTGTCGGGGAAGGGGGTGGATTATTCCATGAGGCCTGCAAGAATCTTAGTCATCCTTCCGCGCGTAAAAGCATCCTTGCGCGAGGCCCTCCAAACCTCAAACATCACGGTCATTTCTTCACATGGTATTTTGTCTGTATCTGAAAATGCCAGTGGCATGATCCGATATTCAACTAACGAAGAATGCGGGTGGCAAAGTGGACGTTCCAGAAGGTGGATTTCAGGCGGTTGTAAAGCAGGCATTCTGGTTGCAAAGTGGGCTTTCTGGCTGTGAAGCGTCTTAATCTGGGGTGTGGCGGGGGACTGTGTATGGGAGGGTGATGAATAAGGTCGATCTTGATCCCAAATGACGCACGGGCCCAGTAAGCAAGCGGTGAGATTGCAAGTTGTCCCTAGGCCTGCGTACCTCGTTTTGGGTGGGTGGCGGCGGAGGGGGGCGGTTAGCATATATGCATTTGTACAAGCACATATTACATTATTACATATACACATAACATATGCATGTACACACGTATACATACATATTAGTACTAAACATCGCGCAACACGATGGAGTGCTTAGCAGCCTTCCTTCTCGGGTGTAGATGTTACGAGAAGTGGCAAGCCCAGGCCGGCGCGGGCTCTTGGATGCGTGGCTCCCAGTTCTTCATTTTGGGGGTTTACGAAAATATAGGGGGACCCGAAAATCGACCCCCCAAAGAGTAAGATTCCCTTAGAAACAAAGGACCCCAATAAGGTACCCCAAATTTCGGGAACCCCCCCCCCCCCCCCCCCCATTTTGGCCTATTTCTTTGCAATTTGTGGGTCCATCTCCTGTTTTTCCCCACCCTCGCTGTGGGGTTGTTAGACTTTAAGCTAAACTCTTCTCGCCCGTCGCCGGTATCCCACCTGAGAGTAACCCCAGATTGTCCCTGCCCCACAGTGTTCCTGGAGGAGTGTCCCACTCCCCCCAGAGTGTCCCTGGAGTGCCCAACCCCAACAAATTCCAAATCTGTAGCGTGGGATGTTCGAAATAATCGTGCAGCTTTTGGTCGAGCTTGCGCATTCTTGACCGTTTGAGCAAATCCTGTCCGCCCAGACTTAGAGGTATCACTACTACCTGAAGCTTGTGCCGACGATGTACATTAGCCGTTGGGGCACGGTCACATACACGAACCAGTATTCCGTCACTGACAGCAACTTGGCTAGGCTTGGGCGACATGTGGGAGCTATTCGCACCATGATGGCCCCTGATGAGCAGTTGAAGCTCAGGTGCCCGGAATGTTCAAGTTCGAGAAGGAGAATTGTCTGGCTTGCCGGGCGTCTTCTTGGTCTACGACTTCAGCCCTTTTCTCATGAAGCAGACCGAGCAGGTTCGGTGTCTGTACTGCTGCAAGGTTGTTTCAACTCCAGGGAGTGGCTTGGGAGGTCAAGCCCTGGTCTTATGTGTTCACGTCTATGTGTGCCATCGTGGGTGGTGCTTTCTCGGTTGCGACTCTTGCCGCGCCCCAAGTCTTCTGCCTCGTCAGTCATCCTGCTCCACGGGTGGCCCTGAGCACCCCAAAGCCCCAAAGTACAGCAACTGAGGTCGAAATGGCTCTGAGTGGTGTTGCTGGCTGCATTTAAGCAAGCCCAGCCAAAGAATCGAAAAAGAACTTTCGTTGTGTGCTTGCCTGCAATGCCCCCGAATACAGGCCCTGAATCTGTGGGGTGCGCTCGTCTGCCATGCTGACTGCCAAACCGAGTTTCCCGAGCCTCCCAAACGCTCAGGCCAGAGAGGAGCCAGAGTTGGATGTCATCGAGTTCTACGGGCTCGTGACTCAAAAGCTGCAGGCTGGGCCGTAGGGATGGCAGCATGACTGCCGAGCTTTGCACTGACGTGCTGTCGAAATATAGTGACCATCCACGCAGAGACTCAGGACTTGAAGATCAATCCCGACTTCCTCAATCGGAACGTAAATGAAGGCCAGCTGCCATGCTCCGTGATTCCGTGCTGTGGGTAATGGATGGTACTGGCTCATGCGCTTTTGAGAGGCTTCAGCGGAGGAGAGCGAAAGAGGCCAGGTGGATGTTCTAGATCTGGAAGCCTTCGAGCACGGCCTGGGATGGTTTCCCTGACCTTCCATGCAGCTTGCAGGAATGAGATGTTGCAGATGGCTGTGTTGCAGCCCAAGCTAGCAATTCTGGATGAGTGCCCTGTCTGCATGTCACTTTTTGTTCGCTGGAGCGGATGTGCCGTAACATGGGCGTGTGTCCAAATCTAAAGTTGGTTGCCGAGCAGCGCGCCCAAGATCTCCAAAGCCACGAGTGCAGGATTGATTCCGGACTCGACATAGATGCGCTCAAGGAGACGAGTGTATTGCAGAGAGGTTGGTCCGTGCCCTCACAGTTGCGCGTGTTTGGACTGACCGCGCTCGGCCTCGAAGGACGTGGCCGAGGCCATCCGTAGCGTCCGCGAGCAGGATCCGAACAGAGCCATGCTCGCCCGCGCCTCTGGCCTTCACCAAGAGACAAGAGTGCTCTTGTTATTTGTGGCACCAGAGCGATGCCGACACTAGATCCGGTTTCGTTCAATCAGAAGCTGGAGGAACACCAATGCCAATACCGTTAGGAATGAGCGCAGCGCGCTGAAATGGCAGTCTAACCGGGGAGGGGAGGGACGCACACATTTTCAAAGGAAGGCTCCAAAGCTGCGGTGATTGACTCCTCTGTCTGTGTATCCCTCGTCTCGTGCTGCCAGTCTGCGCCAGTGGCCACTTGTGATTGTTGGTTCTGTGTGTGGCCCGTGCAAGTTGACGAAGTTGATGAGGTCGTGACGCACTTTGAGCGATTTCTCCGTTACGTGGAGGCCGATCATGTGCCGCCTCCTTACTCCTGGAGCCACTTCGACAAAACTCGCGAGGCCGCTTGCATTCTTAGCACCTCTAAGGCATGTGATGTACCAGGGGCGCATCCTCAAGAGTGGAGGCAAGGAGCTCGCTGACAAGCTGGACGAGGTCAGGTGCCTTCGTGCTGTCTTGAGATGTCTTGAGCTTGAAACCCCAAATTGCTGCAAGTCTCTCCCGAGGAGGGATACGACTGGGTGCTGAAGGAAGCAAAGTAAGTGACCTAGTGCAGGTCTGTTGCTCGTATTGCTGGCGAACATCAAGTCAGCTTAGAGTCACCACGCTGAACATCTGGAGCGAAGCTTCGAATGGTGTGGCAGGTAATGCCCACAATTTTCTTGTTGTGCTATTTGCCAAACCTCCTCCCCATGCAAACCCTTGCGCGCGCAAAAAGTGCACGAGAAAGACAAGCTGCCGGGTGCTGGAACATGTTTTCACCTGCTGCTTTCCGCACGTGTGCCTTCCGATATGTCTCCAGCATCGTCTGCTTTGTGCTCTGCATGAAGGAGTTGCATTCCCACGTTCAACTGCAGGTCAACAACATATCAAAGCAACCTAGCCTTAATTATTCCAAGCCTTCGCGAAGTTTCCTGAGCATAGCCCGACCGGCACAGCTAATGTATGTGCAGAATGGCCGACCAGGCACGTGGATGCAACTTCTGTTGAATGATGTGGTGGGTGCCTGATATGTCTTTATACTTCTATGTATCATTTACAGACATGTTTGTGTGGGATTGGAGGCAAGTTGTATTCCCCGGTCTGGTGGCTTTGTGGAGGAGCAATTTTGTACATGTTGCACAAGGCCCAGACATGTGTCAGCCGAGAGCAGCTTCTCTTGAGGACCACTTCAGAGATGCGAGCTGCTTGCGACAAGCAAGTCACTGCTTGCAGGAGGCTGCCAAGATTGGAACTTGGAAAAGCTGGGAGGGGCTGGATGGGGTGGCAGAAGCAGCTGTCTTGGTCTGCAGGTCTTTACTGCAACAGCTGACACCGGCGGAAGCCAGGCCTCAACAAACACTGTGTCGCTGCGAGTCGCTACGGGTTGTAGCTCATCATGTCACCATCGCACATGCACACTGACTGAATTCTGCACTTTCATGACCTCGGCGCGAGGTGTTGGTGCACGTCTACGAGCTCGTGGAGCCGTGCTCTCAAACGGCTTGCTTAGCTACTTGATCGTGCGTCGATTTCTCTAGCAGAAACGGATAGAACCGGGCAGATAGATCGAGTGAGAATATCGTACCATCTCGGCGGATCCTACCAGGTTCGTCCGGCTCAATCAGATCTTGGCGCATGAGGCCCAGCCTGGCCACCAGCCAGCGACAGGCCTGTCAATGTTGCATCACTCGCCTCAGATTCCTCTCAGGTCCGAGCTGATGCCCATCGGAGGCGCTCTCCATGCGGGTGTCGAGGCGAGGTGGTCACAGGTGGTCATCCCGGGTGAAGCTTGGCCCCCTCGCAGATAGAATTGACAGTTGACAGGTGTACGGCCGAGAGTGGAGCTTTGGAGGTGCTCCAGGCTTCATGGGATTGCTCGGAGAGCCTCAGAGCGGCATCTCAGGATGCCTTAGGGTCACCTGTTAGGGCCCCTTTCGGAGAACGATCATGGATTCAACAGGGTGCCAGGTAACTATTGCCATGCGCATCTAAGGGTGCCTCAAATTTAACGACCCCCCACCCGATGCCCTACTGTAAGTTCTTCAACCTTCTGCAGGCCGGCGAACTGGCGTGGTCTGTGAGGTGCCGCGAACGAATCGCAAGCACAGGCGCCCGGAAATGCAGCAACAAATGCTAAGCCTGCGAAGTAGACCGCTACGTAATATGGGAGGTGACGATAGGCAAATGAGAGCGGAACCGGTCTTGAGGGGCGCGCTGGCCCAAGACCCTGCCCGCCTCCGAAAGGTTTCGTGAAACGATTTCACTGGGAACCACGCGGCTCAGTGCATCAGAGGCACCTGCACTTATGTTGAAGTTGCAAGAATTCTATAAAGCTGATGACGCTAGGTCGCCCTTGTGATCGGAGACCTGATTGAGAGATGGCTGGGTGAGGCTGGTGCACAGCGGATGATGTTGCAGTTCGTGGCAGCAGAGCCTTTCTAGGACTACCACTGGCTCCACAGAAACTGCTTGCACTTCGCCAATGAGTTCTGTCGCAAGTTAGGCCAGTCGCGCCGCCCAGACGTAGGATTGCGCCCGCGCGTACAATCTGCGAGAGGTGTTGGAAGCATCCCTGCATGGCCAGCTCCTAAATTCAGTGCAGCCAGAAAAGGTGAGGCAGGCCGGATTGCCAATTGCTGAAATGCCGCGTTTTCAGGATTGATCGGCTGCCGCGTGGAGTTTGCGCACTTGATGTAGGCCGGTGCTTGCTTGTTGGTCACAAAGAACCAAAGACAACTGGTTCAGGTGTGCGGAACTTAGCGGAGACGGTGAAAGGCCTCGCGGATGGCACACGTGCAGCAGCTCATGCACTGGCCTCACTTCTCAGAAAAGTTCGAACATGACGGGTCTTTGGCAGAACTGCTTGTGCACATGCAGACCGGGTGCATGATTTGCTGCCGTGCTTCCTAGGCGATTGCAGAAGGCCAGTTGCCAGCATGCGGATGTGCAGTGTCCGGGCCGTTGTGCGGCCACATATGCTTGTACACTTTGTCCGGCATGTATGTGTTCGCATCGTCACAAAGTGTTGGCATGTTGTACTGCGCATCGATCATGAGGTTGTGATAGGTTTGATTCCACGCATGTTGCTGCAAGGAAGCGCAAGGAACAGTAATGACTGAGTGGCTGGCCACACGCACCAGCTCAGGGACGCAATTTTTCATTTGCTGCATTGCTGTGGCCCGCAGGGCAGCTGGACTGTGTCCGATGCCGGCCAGTATGTTCCTTCGACCCATCTTGTACTACGACGAATCTCGGATCAAACTTGGTCTCGGTATGCATCTCTTTGCTTTGAACTTCTTGTCAAAGCTGAAGATGCAGCATGGCCGTGGCACACTGTGTCAGGCAACACGTCAACGTGGGCAGCTTCATGGTTACCGCAGTGTTCTGAGCTCAGAACTGACATGCAAGATATGCAAGATGCATTCACAGGCGACTGAGGTAAGTAAAAGACAGCGCCGAGAGCACCTAGGACCTAGGGCACCAAGATGCGAAACAAGTGCAGGAACTAAATAGCCCAGCGGTCACGTGCAGTCCACATGTCCGGTCAAGGCGTTGAGTTTGTGAAGCTAGTGTGCCGTCGCTATCCACGAGCCACTGCCAGGCCTACCTCGCATGGATCCGCGTTTGCGGCTCCGCAAGGTCTCAATGGTGGTCGGGCACGTGGTCGCCTAGACTCGCGCTCAGCTACATGCAGAAAATTTGAAGACGCAATTTCATGTTTCTGCCGCTCCTTCGAAGCTCCGTGTGACGAATTGTGACGATGCCCCGACCAACTTGATTCCATCTCAGGAAGTAGAGAAGTGCTCCCTGGATGATTTTGCCCCATCCTGAGTTGAAGAGTATCGCTGCAACTCAGACCTACAATCGCCGCTCCAGTGTTTAGTCCAAGGATACCTTGAGAAAACACTAGGAGTGGGCTGGTGCAGAGTCGACTGCTCCGGTAGCCTTTGGCGCTTGAGGTTGCAGCTGTGAGCTCCTAGCGGAATGCAACAAGATGTGCAGCTCGGTCGGCGACAATGACGAGCCGACAGCAATTTGCTGAAGCGTGGCCTTCCACATCCTTTTGGGGCTTTACGATGTTAGGGGTGCCTTATTGGGATCCTCATCATAAGGGAATCCTACTATTTGAGGGACTATTATGTGCAAGAGGAAGGTCCCGCACCAGTTCCTGAGTTTTTTAGAATTCGTCAACGAGGAAGTTGCTTTGCATAATTTTGCATAGCCGATGCTCTCCCCGCAAAGCTCATGTCATGTGTAGACCGCTCCGACAAAGAGTTTGCACTAGGGCTTCCAAAGTTCCTCTCTGTCGCGGACCGCCCCTTCCGGTAAAGTCCCCTTCTTTTCCTGCCTTCCCAGTTTTGTTGCTCGCTCAGCTACGTGGCCTGAGAACTGGCCGGTGGCTGCTTGACTTCGCTGATTCCTCACTTCATCTCACGGTTCCTCCTGTCACCAGCCTTTTAGTCACTGCGCAGCTTCTTGGCATCCTTTCGGCTCCGCAGCGAGACGTGCCCGAGTCTGCTCTTTTGACCAGCGCTTCAATGGGCGCTTGGAGAACGCGAACTGCTTTTTTGTTGAGATGAGCTTCCTCCCGCGGTTTCAAAGTGGGCGTGCCGGGGCCTCAAGTCTGACAGTCTTGGCCCAAAGAGAATTAGGGAGATGGGAAGCAACCATGAAACAACAGCTGCAACTTGCACCTGTGTCTCGTTGTCGTGAGCTATTGGCTCACCAAGGTGGCAGCTTTCAGACTCCTCAGGTGGGAAGCAACACCTCGTTTTTGCACGGATGAATGGCTTTAAGACGCGATGTCTACTTTTCCCAAGCGCAGGCGATTGTCGTGCCCGACAGCTGCTGCAGCAGGGCCGATACCGACGTTCACGCCGTCCATCACTTCATCGCACCTGGCAACTGGCACCATCGAGGCGTGTGCTGACAGCCACGGTTCGCATTATGTCAGCTACTATGTACCTGACTACGTACCTGGGTTGCGCCTCTCTGCCCTCTGTTCTATTCGGCCTCCTCGTTTTCCCTTGGAGGTTTCCAAGCAGCGGTTTGAAGAGCTACTGGAATCAGAGGTGGTCCACTTTGCTCGAGCGCTGCGGCCCCACCCGGTGACCTGGTCTCTTACAAAGAAGTGACTGCAGTTTGACGGTGGCTTTGCCCTGCCTATCGTTGTTCCCACCATAGCTCTCTCACCTGCCAGATGACCCTTCAGCAGATCCTCCACTTGCAAGATGCCAAGAGCCTGCGCGAGTTTCTTCTGGAGGCGGCATAGCGAGCAGCGGTCGTCAGCGCCTTTAATCTTGCGAACGGCACGCCAGGAATTGCCCATACGGGTCGCCCGCCGAGTCCAGCTCATTGAGGCGACTTGGGGGCAACTAATTTTCATGACAACTACTTCATGGAGCAACTGCACGTTTGCAAGAGAAGCTCGGATCGCGCTAGGCTTCTCATTAGTATTTGGCTTTGGCCCGTGGACTTCTAAACGAAGCACATACACACAATAGACGGATCCATGCCGCGCAGCAGCACTGACTTTTGTGCTGCTTCCTGCTCAGTCACTGCCGCGCTGGAGTGACTTTCCACACATGCGAGTGATTCGCCGGCCCCTTACTCTTCTTACTCTTTCTTCTCGCACTTTGTGTGGATCACCGGGTTTGCCAGCTTCCGTCGTGCTGAACACAAAAGGTTCCTTGTACTTCGATGCTTTTCGCAAGCTTCGTGCAGTGCCTCCAGAAGAAGAGGACTGCCACGATCATGTTACTGTCGGGAACCCCAAGTTGGGAAGCCGAACCAACCCCTCTTGCCAGGAACGCTTCAGAAGCGTGCTGCAAGAGATCAAGCGACGAAACGCCAACATGCTGTTTCACGTTATGAGGCCGTCCCTGCTGAATACAGTGCTGGCTGCTGAGTGCAAACCTGACGAAACCTGGCAGAGGGGAGTCCGCACAATGCGTACGAAAGACGCGCTCACAGAGGAGCAGGCGCCAGGGTTCTCCAAAGATTCTCCAAAGCGGAAGCTTGAGGATGCTTGATGCAGACTTGATGCCTCTTGTGCCTAAGGTTAACAAGTTCCTGGACGAGTTCCTCACCGCTCGGATAGGTACTGACATCCTGTCCTCGCAGTACCTGGCAATGACCAGGCAGGGAAAGAACAAAACCTGAGACAAATCAGACCATTGCCGGGGGCCTTTCGGAAGAAACTCTACTATTCTTATCAGCTACAAACGGAGATGGCTCTTGATGTGTTTCAAGCTCGCTCGCTCCTGGGGTGATCGCAGGCCAGATTCACCTACTTCAGTTGTCACCCCTGACTGCGATCCAGCCAGAACCACAGAATGTCGTCGGGCAGTGGGCTCTCATGACAATTCTACCTCGTTGAGTGCCAGGTTGAAGTGGTGCGCAATGCTGCTAGTGATGCGGCTACGCTGTGCAGGCGTGTCAGTCACTGTTCAGATGCCAGACGCACTCGCACACTTCATTAGACTTCACGGCCCAACATCTGTAGGGGTTCCACTGGACTTAATCTTGGACCGTCTCCACTGTGTATACAGTATGCTGTGCACACTATGTCCAGCCTCCCCCTCCCCCAAAGTAGTCGAAAGTTTAAAACGGTATTGGTGGAATGGCCCGAACTCCTTACTAAGCTGGCCATTTATTTAAAGTTGCGTATTGGTTGTCTTTTCTGTCTTTCCTTTCCTCTCTCGACAGACCATCTGGTAGATGTTGAAAGCGGATGTCCAATGCCATTATCATTATGCAAGCCACAGGCGGAATTGTCATATGCGCCAAAGATTGACGCAAGTGCTACCTGAAAGCATCGCGAAACACATCACGAATCCACAAGTCATGTTTCTAAGAGCACAACAGGCAGAGGACGGCCAGCAGCATGTAAAGCACAGTTTCGGGATCAAATACTCTCCCACAGTCCTCCGTGGCCCAGTGTTGTCAACTGCAAAATCATCGTCGTAGTATGTTCGAGCCTCGAAAGCCAGTAGGATCATTGAGTTTTTGCATGCTTGGACAATATATTGTTTGGAGTGTCGAGCTGCTGCCATGACATGTTCGGAGCACGAAAATGCTGCCAACATCCGGTGTACTAATGTGCGTGGACCCGCGACATGCAGTAACTTCACATGGAATTCATTAGCTTCGTGCCTGGGAGCATCGGAATTTTGTTGTAAACTACAGTTGTGGAGCGTCGAGGTGAGCGAGGCACTGCAAATCGCGGAGGTTTGCATAGCCAGGAATTGCATTCCCGAAAACCGTCGGAGCGGATCTGTGCAAGGAACATTATGGACAAGACATACGTCCAAAGGCTACATGGGGGTCTACGACAATAGGTAGTAGGATTCCAAAAAGGTATCCCCTAACATCGTAAACCCTCACATAAATTGCAAGTTACGGACTCCAGAGGCATCACTACGGCTGGAGCCCGCGCATCGACATTGTGGATGCATGCCAGGCGAGCCTGTTGCAATAAGCGGGCACCACCGATGCCGTATGTGGTTCTTTGAGTAGCGCTGCTGGTTCGCGAAACCAAGGATGCAGCTCAACCCTGCCCAAGTGCAGGAGCACTAACATGCACACAGCCAGTTCGCAGATGTTGCCATGTGAGCAGGTGAGATTTCCGTTTATCAAGCAGTACTTGAACTACATTATGCCATGGGCTCGAAAGAGGGTAGGCCCATGGGATATTGAGAGGACCCTATTCAGGACTATTGTTCAGTGGGTTTCTCAGGGGCCAATCTAGAAATGAATGACCGCCGCTTGCGGGGTTTGTCTCTTTGCCGAAGCCTCCAAGGTTCGAGCTGATCAAGAACTCTTTTCGGGCAGTGGTTGAGAGGCACGCAGCAACCACCTCCTGCCCTCTGATGGGAGCGGCGTGCTTCGTTCCCACATCCTGCCCTGCATGCAGGTTCGGTTCCAGAGAAGCTGCAGAAACATACCCAGTTCGTGGGCTTCTCAATACAATATTCTAGTTTAGCTCCGATTCCCAAGGGCAAGCCCCCAAAACTATACACATCTATAAACTGTTAGGTGACAGTTGAACATCTGGCACTGACATGGCTGCAAGTCTTTGACGGCGAGCGCGCTGCGAGAATGCTACGGGCACCCTCGTTGTGAAATCGAACCGGTTTTGCAGTAACTTGTCTATTGTTGCAAAATCTAGGTGTCGTGGTTTGTGGCGATGATGACACCATCGTGCTGCGGGTGTCTTTTGCTCGGTCGTTTGTTGTTGTCATGCAGTCGCACTTCAGTGAAAGAGGACGCTGCTGAAGAGCCTTTTGTTCTTGTCGGAATGAGGTCAGATTGTGGAGGTGGTGCGATTCCCAAGACATGTCCTGCTGCGTCGACCCTTCTTTGCTTCTCCTTGTGCAAGCAAAGGCATCCCGCTTGGTGACATGGATCAGGCTCCGTCTTCGGTCTTGGTTCGCAACATCTTGCGGTTTAGACATTCGTCCTTGCTGATGGTGCTGCTACTCGGAGCTGCCTTTTCACTGATCAGGTGTGGTCTTACCTCTATACGACGGCAAAGCCGGCTTGCGAGGACGCTGCAAAGAACCGACGCCCACATTGGGAAGCGGCTTTAAGCTTTAGGCTTTATTAGCTGCAGGACATGGCGTCAATCAATGGCGCAGACAGCGACGAAGACGACGATGATTCGGATGATGACCGCGGCATTGCGCAAGCTGCTCAGACGGCCAAGCGACAATCTCATCTGTGGCTCGTACGTCAGCGCTGCTTCTCGACAGGCCACTTGCGGGTTTCGGCTGTGGACTTCCACTCAGCAGGCCAGACCTACTAGTAGTACTACTGTAGAGCAAGACTTCGCATGAATGGGAACACCGTGTGTGGCATGGGTTTGACGTGCCAGATGTGCCGTGACAGGAATTATGCGTCATGAGCTCAGCAGCCTGTGCCCTGCGATCGTGTCGCCGGCGCATACAACGCCTGTGTCAAGGTGTTACGTGGGAGGCTGGCTGGAACTACACTCGATACCGGAATATGGGACAGACACGTGCAACACCGCAGCTTTCCGACACCGACCGGTGCATGTGGCCCCCGTGTGCCCCTTCGAGGTACCTCTACTTAAACCGTGCAGGGAACGCCCAAGAGGCCATGTCCACCGACATCGATGCCGAACCCTAAGATGGACCTCGCGCAGCTGTTGCAGCTCAGAGTTACTTGTAGCTTGCCGCTTCTTCAGCCGACCCTTGCCTGTGCAAGGCTCACTTGCCTCTTTTCGGTGCATTTCCGCGGGCAACCTGAGCTGTTTCACCACACCGCGGGGCTCACGGGGACATGCGGCGCTACACCGCATGCGACGCTCACCAACTCTCACCATTAACCGAAGAAAAAGCATAACTTTGGGATCCTGCACAGTGGAGCCAAAAGGTTCAACTTCATTTTGCTTGCCAGCAGGTTAGTTGCACAACTGCAGCTTCGACTGGCTGAATATTTCCAGAGAGGGCCTTCAGTCCCTCATGTTCCTCATCGAGTAGACGTTTGACTGCAGTCCATGGGTGTACAAGGCGCGAGCTTATTAGCAGTCCATGCTCTTTGTTGCACGAGACAAGTCCTGAAAATGGCTGATGCAGCTAATGAAGCCTGTGTGATTGGGACATGGTGTGGCAGGCTTCGTTCCGAAAAGTCCTGAAAGTGTTGTGCACAGTCTTGCACCGCTCGCCGGGACCTTTCAGCAGTCATCTCTGAGCAGTTTGGAGATTATATCGCCCATCGCACTTAACTATTGCTAAAGTTCATGACGTTCCGAGGCCCAACGTCCTGTTCTGCAGAGCTTGCAGAGTGTGGCTCCCAGCCTTCAGCGTCAGGGAATGGGGCCGTCGGCGCTAGATGGCGCTAGTGTTTTAATCATCCAAGCGGTTCCAAGAACATAGGCCGAAGCCATCCTCTAAGAGGGGGGGGCGACTGGTGGCTGTATGCAAAGCCCAGGTGCGGACACGTCACTGGTGTCGGTTCAGCACGGCGCAGCCCGTCGTTCACGCCTCAGTCCAAATGTCCAAAGGGCTCACCACCTCACAGCCCGAGAGTCGCAAGGTGGCGTGGCTCTGGCTGTCGGAGGAGGGCTTAGCCTGAGCGTCCTGCTGGCATGGCTTTTGGGGGTGAGGGCATTTGCTTGAGCTCGTTGCCATGAGCCGCTCGGGCACTGCGAAGGCCTTCACCGTCACTTGGCTTGGACGTCGGAGCAGGCGACAGCCTCGACCCCTGCAGAGGCCTGATACAGATGTCCTGGCACTTGTGCAAGGGTGTTTTTGTAGCGGCAGGCGGGCGACTGCACAAAGCGTCGCAGCGCCACGCAAACATAGGTCTTGCCTGCAAACTTCAAAGGCCCCGGCCCTGGCAGAGTCACAGGAGCCTTCAAAGTGCCCATCAGGAAAGCTGGTGTGGAGCAGCTATGCCGGTGCCCTTTCCACGGCTCGTTTTTCACGAGTCTGAGGCTCGCGAAGGCCATCCCTGCCTAACGTGTAGCGGTCTCAGCAACCTCCAGCAAGATCTGCAAGACATTTTCAGCACATCGCGTGAGATGTTGACGAGGCCTCGAGCGAAGGAAGCGACGCGCGCTGGACGTTCACTTCCTTTACGCGGGCTCCTCGGAATCCCAGCGCTGGCATGTGCTGGCCATGACCTTTTTTTGTTGCGAGTGGTATATTACACTACGCAACATGTAGCGGATATTGTGTTACACAGCATTTGTGTTGCAATATGTTACGACAGCTAAACTCATACTCGTGGCCATGTTGCAATCGGTATCCGAATCTGTATCGCTTACCCAGGCCTCTCCGATTTTGCGGCCCGGGAGTTCCGCAGAGCGCCTTCCTCCGCTCAGCTGGCAGGTTTGGGCCTCAGAACAATGATACGAAAACCCAGAACTCATAGTCGATTCTAGCCCACTTTGAAGCTGGGGCAGGAGGAAGCAGCGGCGGTGCAAGATGCTTTGGGCTTGGATGCTGCAGAGTCCGCAGATATGGACGCAGGCCCACTTAAGGGATGCAGTTTCTGAGCACAGGCCCGTTTCTGTGCCTGGCGCAGGTTCGGCCCTCGAAAACGACACGTCACCGTCTTCAGCCCTGAGCCTGGCGGCACGTTCATGAAAGCGACAGCCCATTTCTTCCCACTCCCGAACCCCTAGCGCTAGGCCTTTCCCTGCCGCAAATCCTCCGAGGCATCGACATGCTCTGTGAGCAGAGCGCGAATGCACGTGAGTGTGGCCACGGCAAGGGACTAAGCAGAGGCTTTTGGCTTTCGGGTTGTTGGGGTTGGGATTCGGGTGTGTAACTTTAGGAGTGGGGTCCAAGTGCAGGACTTTGGATGTTCGGGCTTTATATTAAATGGCTTTGTGAGTTGAAGGTTTGGGGGTCATGAACGCTGCTCTTCCGCACCCGAGGTGGAAGGGCTTTCTCGCCTGGCCGCTAGCCATGCTTCTCCAGGCGCCTATGCAGTAGTGGAGCCTTCTGAAGTTGACAGGTGCACACAGGTGAACAGCTAGCTGCGTTTGCATAGCAGCTGCTGACATTCACATCAGTCACAATGGCAATGCAGAGCAAACCGACCTCTGGGCAGATGAACACACCGTAGCCATCCACATCAAGCAGTTGGCTTTGTGAGATTATGGCGGCCATGCCTATTTTGTCCTGAAGCTCGCCCAGTTGATGTCCGTTGCGACCATCATGCATCTGGTACAGATCCAGCCTACACAGCTTGAGGATCATGGGTCACCTCCCCTCCCCGACGTTCCCCGATGTCCCTAAACCTCAAGCATATTGGAAGAAGTTACCCGGCCGAAGTGATCCAGCTGACCAGCTCCTACAATCATGGCGAAGCAAGCCTCCAACCGCATTGCAAAGATCAAAGCCCTGTTTGGGTTTATGCCGCATCCTGAGTGTAAGTCTTGCGTGACCCGGAATCCATGGATGACCACGACAGTAACACGACATCAAGGTGCGTGCCGTACTTGGTGGCCGCCATTGCAGTGTGTTTCTCAGACCCCATTTCTGGAAGCTCCCATAGAAGCATAAGGGTAATCACACCGATCAGGTTGGATGGCAAGCGCTCGCGACTCCTGCAGTGGGAGAGCTGGAAGAAGTGGACATGCGAGGGAAGACGGTGCTGATCACTGGAGCTACTTCTGGTCTGGGATTGTGGCAAGCAGAGGCCAGGATGAAACAAACCAAATGATCTTGGTGCATTTGTGCGTTTGTGTCACCCTTTGCATCTAGGTGCTTGCACGCTGGAATGCCTCCCTTGTTTTGCCGGCACCTGCCTTTGACATCCCACTCGTGCGCAGATAGTCGTGGTCGAAGCATGTCGCAGCCAAGGTGCGCGACCTCAAAAAGGGTCAGGCTGTACTAGACAGATTTACCCAGGCTGATGCTCAGCTTTGTAGCTGTTGCCCTGTGTTGCTGCTCCTGAAGAGAGATGCTGCGCAGGAGTTTCCGCAAGCCCCTGCGCCAGCCACGAGCCGAGTCTGTCAGTTTGCATTGCAAGGTTTGTCGCCCATGCACCTGGGCGGCTTATTTTCACTTATTCTTGCGTTTTTTTCAGATCCCGTTGTGACAAGGTCATCATGGAAATGGACCTAGCATCACTGCAAAGCGTGCGCGACTTTGCAGAGCAGTACGCCGGGCCTGTGGCCTGCGACTCGGGCTTTCAGAGAGTCTCAACTCAAGATGGCCTGGCTGTGTCTGAATCCAGTGCTAACAGAACCATCACTCAAAATCGCATCATGTGAAGGGTGAGCACAACCTCGTAAGAATCTTGCCAACATTCCCTCCCTGATTTGTACATGGTACATGTGTTCATGCCTGTCCGGGCCTATGGCCGATGGATTGAGACTATACGTATAGCGTTGTGGCACCGTGCAGTAGAGTCACAACCGCAGACTGGGCTTTGAGGATGTGCTGGTTCACAATGCGGCTGTCCTGGGAACTGGTGAGCTTCTCCGAACAGAGGACACCGCTCCGCTTCGGGGCTTCTCAATGCTCCCTTATGTTCAGAAATGTCCCGAACAAGGACGGCTTCGAGGAGTGCCTTCAGGAGCACTGCACTGCAATGCTGAAGCGTACATGGTCACGTGACGGGGAGCCACCCACGTATTGTTTTCTTCCGCAGGTCAACTACCTCTCCTCGCACCAGACTAAGTTGTCCAGAGCGTGAAAGTGGAAACCGTCGTAGGATGCATGTTTCAACGCCAACCGGAGGGCTCAATGCAAGGCAACGTGAAATCCATAAGATCTAGAGCATGACAGCATTTCTGCCCTTCTGCTGAGAGACGGGGCGAGGTTTCTGCTCACGCACCTGCTGCTTCCACGGCTGCAGCAAAGTGCTGCGGGACGCATCGTGCACGTTTCCGCGAAGGCCCATGAGCTCCAACCTCAGCATGGCCCCATACGCAGCGAGAGACACGATGGTGATCGAACTTCCAGCGTTTGTGTTGGAAGATGAAGAGAAAGGTGGGGGAACATCAGCATGCAGGACTGGGCATTCCCGAAAAACCTGGAGGTCTTGCTGCCATTGTGATGTGCGCTATCATCTCTCCAGGACTTGCGGTCGCGCAAGGTCTTGGATTTGGATTTCCCGAAGAGGCATGTAGGTACCATTTTGGGCAGCACTGGTAGTGGTAGCACTGGTAGTGGTACTGCGACGGATCACGCTGTGCAAAATGCGCTGTAGCTGGCTTCTCTTATTCACCAGGCGGCTACGAATGATGGGAAACTTGGGTGGATCCTACGCAGACTCTAAACTGGCCCAGGCCGGAGGGACTTTGTGATGGCATGCAGCTTGTTGCTGTGTTGTCGGCAGGTTCTGTTCAGCAACGCGCTGGCTAGACGTCTGCCTCCAAATGCTGCAACCTTGGTGCTCGATGCTGACGACCTGCAGTGAGTTTGCGAGCTGCAAGCTTACACCTTAGGTTGTGACGCATGCCCTGCATCCAGCCATTGTGCCGCCGCTGCCTTGATCCAGAAGCAACGAGTCATGAGTCGACTCAAGCCTTGAAAAGGGGGCTGACGCACTTTTCAATTGATTAAACTGTGCAATTTCCGGTTGCTTCTGCAACATGGAATTGGCTCTGATGCGGACGATTTTCGCTGCCAGGTTGCCTTTCGGTGTATAATTGTCCCGCGGCTCTGCGCTTTTTGCTTACTGTACCATTTGTTATTGTGATGTTGCTCGGGTTTGACTTCGCTGGTTTTGAAAGCAGGCTCCCGAAGCTCACCCCCCGCGCGCACACGCGCGCTCGCGCGAGTGTGTTTGTTTGTGTGTGTGTGTGAATATGTGTGTGTGTGTATATGTGTGTGTGTGTGTGTGTGTGTGTGTGTGTGTCTGTGTGTCTGTGTTTATGTGTGTGTGTGTCTCTCTGTGTGCATGTTTGTCTAAGTTGACTGACTGTGCAATACTGTGCATCTTTGGGCTCTGGGGCTTTTGTTCAGGCATGTTGAGGCATATTCAAATTCAGGCGTTTGTCAGACAAAGAACCACCTGAGGACGGGGCTGCTTCGCCAAGCAGATTTTTCTGCAGTGCAGAAGTTCTTTGCATGCACTGTGTCGAGCTCCTGACACTTCTTACACAGTCTCGGTGCATTCTGGCACATGCAAGCAAGCTCAAGCTAAGCCCTTCCTGAAAGGTTCCTGCATGACAACATGATGCAGCCCGTGATGAGATTGGTTGGCTTCACACAGTCGGAGGAAGGGCCATGGGCATAACTACTGTCGCTGAAGCCTTTGCCGTCATGATCCCTGCAGGAGGATGCTCCAAAAACGCAGATTCATGTCTCCACCCATCCGGCAATCCAGGACTGTGCCAATCACTGTCTTTCGATGTTTACAGCAGAGTGCAGCACATCAGCTAGCAGCTAGCAACTATCACAAGGAATGCAGACGTGCATGAGGATGTGACTGGGCGGTACTATTCACCGCTCTCCCCTCCACTTGTACATTGTGGGCAAAAGGCAGGTGCTGTCCACCTCAGGTTGAAAGATGTGGCAAACTGAGCTAGCCATTGCAGCTATGTTATAGCACGCCATGCTGATGCCGCAGGCGGAGTATTGTGGAATCTCCAGTATATCAGAGGCTGCAGCTGATCGATTCCTGCAGGAGGAGCTCCCACGTCATGCACTCCTAGAACACGTAGAAGGCAAATGCCCGCAAATGTTTGTCGCTGCCGTTTGCCTGCAGGCCCTTTTCGAAACCTCCTGCGAACTGCTGGACTTGAACAATGGCCTGTGTGCAGAATCTCCCGACAGCTAAGATTCATCGGTGGTGCGACGTGCCAACTTCCGCCCACAAATATGACCGTAGGACCAGAAAGTTTTGAACCTGCTGCTAAGCAGCAGGTTTCACGTGCGGAGGGGAGTGTCTCTCTCGGCAGCTCTTAGCACAACCATTCGGTTCAAGGTGCAGAAGAAGAAAAGTGCGAGCTCTTCCATCTTACTGTACTCAACTCTGGTCAGTTCTGCTTTACTCGATGTGAGTGCACCTCAGACCTCAGAATGGCAGGGCCGACCTGGTGGCACATTGCTACACACAGTGAGCCTGGTACGGGACGACTCATCTTAGAGGCGGCCACGGTGGCCTTGTGCTTTATGTTGCCCTTACAAGTTCGATCACTTAGTACGGGGTTTGTATCCAGACTCTAAAAACGGTTTCATCCTTGGTGCTTGAGTGGTTCAATGCTTGCAATGGCACAAGTCTTAGTCCTACATGCAGGACGAGGATGGGGCGCCCCAGGCAGTGTCCATGGCAGCTGGGAGCTGAGCGAGAGAGAGAGCGAGAGAGAGTTACAATGCCACCGGACCTTGGACACAACCTGGGCGCGCCTTGGGGGGGGGGGGGGGGGGGGGGGGGCCCGCTCCCCTCAAGCCCTGTAGAAGAAGAAGAAGCACAAGAAGAAGAAGAAGATGAAGAAGAAGAAGAAGACGAAGAATAAGAAGAGAGAGAGAGAGTTGCTACCAGACATCGGTGACATTGAGCATCGGCGTAGACGAGCGCACGATCGGGTGTGAGTCTTATGCTACTTTAGGGGTTTGGAACGGAGGCCGAAGGTGGGGACAGGAGAAGATTCACGACCCCCAGTGTGCCAGTTTGTTGGAGTGACCTGTTTAAGCGTGGCTCCAGACGGTTCATTCGTTGTCCTCACACACAGGCGAACTCGCTTGTGCACGCCCCTAGGGGCGGCCCCTGTGGGGGTCAAGTGCAGTGGAAGGAAGGAAGGAAAGAAAGAAAGAAGGAATAGAAAGAGAGAGAGGGGGTGTCGTCAGGCCCGTCATGCGCCGAAGAAGAAGAAGAAGAAGAAGAAGAAGAAGAAGAAGAAGAAGAAGAAGAAGAAGAAGAAGAAGAAGAAGAAGAAGAAGAAGAAGAAGAAGAAGAAGAAGAAGAAGAAGAAGAAGAAGAATAAGAATAAGAATAAGAAGAAGAGAGAGAGCGATTGAGCGTTTGGGCGCGCAAACCAGGAGCTCCGGCTCCAAAGAAAGAGGGGCACCGGGTTACCCCTCAAGCCCTAACGAAAGAAAGGGCAGGTGCCTCACAGAATACAGAATGACCGAGCTAGGACTCCCATGAAGAACGGCCTATTCTATTTGTGGAGTTTGGCAGTTCTGGTTGTGACTCACCTTGATCAAACGCCCCCCTTGCCCCCCCCCCCCCTCCCCATCCTCACCTCCTCGAAGTATCAATAAAGACAGCTCGCTGGAAGGAGCCTGAAACTTAAGCAAACAGGGGGGCGAAGGTCGCTTTCTCAGGGTCTGTAGGGAGCACGTGCTTTGCAACAACAAATGACTGTTGCACACGCGGGCTCGCAAGTCCTTCGCTTCCGGCTGCAGTGACTTTGGCGTCGCTTCAAGCCCAGGCCCAGCTGTTTGCTTGCCAAACTCCGCCGCTGGGCGTGTCAATCCTCGCGTGTGCCGGGGAGCAGGTGTGTGCTTTCGTTAGGCATTTGATGGAGCATGCGCGTGTCTCGGTGTGGGATTTCGTTTTTTGGTGTAGGCTGGCCGAGCTCTCCTTTCGGCCGGAGCCTCCTTCGTGGTGGCGTCATCGGGTGAGTTGCGCGGAGTACTTAGTGCAATCAAGAAGGAGTTGCAAAAAGGGTCCCTGTTGCACGTCGCAACTCTAAGAATGTTGTCGCAGGTGTCACTTTGGCTCGCCATGGTCACTACATTCCAAAAAGCTCCAGCGGCTTAGGTGATGTGACTGCCCGCATCTTCGCATCGCATTTCTACCGTCGCCTGCAATGCGCGTGTGCATCACAGCCGACGTCTCAGAGGAGTTTCTCATGGCTTGAACATTGCAGTAGCAACATAGGGTCCTTGCCACTCCTGCATCGATGTGTCGGGAGCTGCAGAGGTTATCCGAGCCTCTGGAGCGAACTGACGGCCGTGGCCAAGTCTGCACATTGCAAATCCATTCCGGGGAAAAGAGATCTGCGCGACATGTGTTGAGGCTTTGCCTCCCAAGTGCGCTTGGCATTTGGTGCCGCAAGAGAGGTTCGTCCACTTGCGTCGTTAGGCTTTCATTGAGCATGCTAAGGGCCCAAGGCTGAAAGTTTTGTGCTTCAGTAGTAGGGTTTCAACACTCTTTGAACCAAAGTCATGCGAGTGCCACCAAGACAAGACGAGCGGAAACCTGACGAAACAGTTCGCAGGCCTTGCAGACAGCCACGAATCGTGCCGTTCGCATCGAAGCAAAGAAATTGCTACTGCTGGAGAAAGGCGTCAGTCTCAGAGCATCAGAGGGACACAAGTGGGACTCGCAGCCACGGCAAAGTTTCCACTGCTGTCAGGCGCAGAAGAGGCTTCAAGTGGGGCACCCCGCAGGACATCAGGCTAGATCCGAAAATCAGTTTGACCTTTTATGGCGTTGAGGAGCCTGGCTGAGTGTTGGATGCCGGTTGCCATGGGCAGTGATATCCTTCCAGGCGGGTCTTGCATGCTGCATCCAGGATTCTTCAGGGCTCGGAAACTTGACAGCTTCGACCATGCAGTTTGTGTCTGCGCAAGGCTCGCATGCCGGAGTCGCTCTTGCAAAGGACGACGTGGAGGCTCCCACTGCCAACTGGGATCTGCTATGAGACATGACCTGTAGTGACTGCAGTGCCTGGCTCAGGATGAAGCCTCCATGTCAACTGAAGACAACGCGGGTGAAAGTACAGAGGCTTCCTTCAACTTGCATGTTGACTTGCACGTAGATGTGCAGCATGGGAATCTACCAGACAGGATAGCGCATCCTCCTTGAGCACGTGTTCCAAACAGACATTTCCTCAGGACGGCCTGTGAGCGATGTTAATAGGCTGCAGGCGGTATATATATATATATATAGTCTGCTGTTTGCATGCGTGTAGATGCGCGGGGTGATGTGCAGATTTCGAAGGCCTCCGGTTCAGAGAGAGCGAGAGCCCATGCCCCATGAAAGAAATCAAGAAAGCAAGAACGAAGGAAGGAAAGAAGAAAGGAAGAAAGAAAGAAAAGAAAAGAAAGAGAACGAGCAGGATTGCGAGGATTTCGTTGGCCGCGGTCCGGAGTTGCAGAGGAGCTCTGCTGAGTTGCGGAGCAGAGCCGTCATGTTGCCACGTGCCCCATTGTGATCTGCCCCAATTGCAGGCTCATGCAAATCTTGGGCGCTTCAGGAGGCCCTTGGCTCTTGTCAACGCCCCCCCTTGCAAGCTTCCTAGATCTTCCTAGGGATGCAGTGAGGTCGACGCCTTCTCATTCTGCATGGCTCAAATGGAGCTGGCAAGAGTGCACTAGGCTCGGGCTCGGGTGTGCTCGGACAAACTCAGTGCTGATTCTTTTTGAATTCCGCGGCAGGCGCTGAACTCTGTCGTTTCGCCACCTCTCCGGGCAGAAAGTTCGCAGCAGCGTCCTGGCAGCCTCATGACCCGAAGCACCGGGGCTATTCAGCGATTCTTATTGTTGTGGCACGCTGGTCAGGTCAGGGGTAATCGCAGGTTGGCCTTCGTGTGCATGTCTCAGACATGTTGCTGGAGACGGGATTCCTATGGTTTAGCGATGAAATTGCTGCCTCAACCAGGTCGCTACAGGATCCAGGACGAGGTACGGATGCAGGCTAGTTTTTTGTTCTTCAGGAGGTGCTTGTCTTGCGTATTTGTGACTGTTATTGTTCTTTCTGGCTTCCGCTGCTGGCTTCTAGAATCTAGAAGTCCGTTGCTTATGCTTGTTGAAAGCAGAAAGGAGGCCGGCGCTTGTTTCCGCTGCTTTTGCTTGACGTTTCTGGCATGCAGCTTTGGCTTGAGATCACCGTATGTGCCGTTGTTTGCATGTGATGTTGCCTTACTTACATGGGCTGGGTGTTTTGAATCTGTGTGTAATCCGTTTTGGCTCAGCTCAGTTCGGGTTATGAGAATCGAGCAGCTTTGTTTTCAAGCGCAATGTCCAAAGTGTGTGTGTCCTTTCTTCTTGGCAAAGCCAAGTCAACACAAGTCAAAGAGCACCACGTTGTTCATGTATGAAGTCATCAAAGTCATGTCGCTATTCCTTTTCTTTCATGAGCAGTGCGCAAGGCAGGTATACTGTCACATTTTGAAGAGAAACCCATCAACCAAAAGCAGACTTGCCAAGCATGTACTACACGTGTGCAGACCGCTTTCGACCCTGGGCATCCTTGAGATGTTCCGGATGACTCGTCTTTGAACTTGGCGACCTGGGCCCAAAGATGCACCTATCAGGGGTAGGGGTGATCTTCGCTCAGGCCTAGAGTGGAACATGCAACCAACACACGCACACGCCCTCGACAATCACCATGGCAAATCAGCCTGTGCGCAGACGAGGATCATGGTTCAGAATGTCTCACGGGACGCGAGCAACTCGCATTGCCATGTTGGCAATGCCAATGCAAGTAGTTGTTCACTGTAAACATGCAATGAAGACCCAGGAGGAAGGAAGTCAGGGAGAGAAAGAGAGACCCTTGAAAGAAAGAACGAGACAGGTTGTGCAGGTGAGGGTGGGAGGTGTTGCAGTCATCGAACGTCTTTCTCAAAGAGGCCGTCTTTTGGCAGGATGTGGGAGGTCTTTGATATTTCGGAACGGACTCGGCTGTGTCAACCGCGCTAACAGCATAGAAGCCCTGCCCCTTGGTAGAACAGAAGAGGTCACTGGAGGTCTCAGTCACACAGTTGCACTGTAGTTGTAGATTTGGGGAATGTTTCCGTTGGGGGTACCACTGGACACCCCATGTCTCGTGCCGACGGCTGAAGTCGAAGTGAAATGACCTGAAACAAGCAGCAAAACAGAGGAATCTTGCGTGCATGCGTGCACGCTGATTCGTAGAGGGGAGGGTTTACCCGACCCTTGCTGAGAAGACGGGGAAAAAGAAGAACAGGTTGTTGCATGGATGGCTCTGCCTTGTTGTAACAGGAGTCAACTCAACGCGCACAACGGGCGCAGTGACCCAAAGGAAGGAAGGAGGGAGGGAGGAAAGAAGGAAGGAAGCGGCTGGCCTATCATATCGATTGCGTGACGTGAGCGCGCCGGGCGCGCGGCTGGTTTTCGCACTCCCAGCCCAGAAGAAGAGAGCGGTGCGAAAGAAAAAGAGACAGAAAGAAAGAGAAACGGAAAAGGAAAGAAAGAAAGAAAGAAGGAAGGACAACGGGTGCGAATTTAGAATAATTTAGATGTGTGTAGAAGATGCAACATTCTCACGCATGCAGACGCTGCTGCTGCGTGCGCTCGCCTGGCCATCTTTGCAGCCGTCGCACCCTGTGCTTGCTCCCTTCATCATGAGTCGGAAAGTCTCGTTCCGAGCCCTGAGGCTGCAGGGCTGGCAAGCTCAAAGTCATTTGAAGGACGACTCGTGCGAACTTGTGCCGGCGGCATGGCTTTTGCACTCATCGGCCGTGCCTACAGGGCCAACAGGGCACTACGACCGTGTAGCCGAAGCAAAAAATTTGCGCTGGCCGTGATGACAGGCTTGGTGGTTGATGATGCTGAAGAGCGCCTGGGCTGGTCCTGGGCTTAATTCGCTGAAAGAATGTTGTTGCTGTGTTGCAATGATTCGGGAGTAGCAATGATTTGCACGAAGAGCGGTCGTCAAGCCGTGTGCGGGCGCATGCGGTGACTGCACGAGTCAAGGCGCGATGATTTCGTGCCAGAGCTGCTGGATAAGTATCCTCAACTTTGCCTTCTCGTCCTGAGGCGCATTGCAGAGTAGCGTAGCGTAGCATGTGCCGAGCGCTGACCCTTGTAAAAAATGCATGCGAGAGGCGATCACCTCTTTACCGTCTAGACGGTGATGGAGGACGGCTCAAATTCCAGAACTTCGGCACAGCACAAGCATTGTCTTCCAAGGAGAGAGGTGGAAGTCTGGACTTCAGCCTATGGATTTCAGCTCGCACTTCGCAGGGATTCTTCACTGGAGATCGCCAGCACACTTCTCACACTTGTGCCCTTGTCATCCCAGGCCAGTGAACATAGCACTGGGCCCACTGCCAGAGATGGAGGCTACAGAGCGTGATGATTCCGTGCTTTTGAAGTCCCGTAATCATTGGGTATGTGCCAAAGCAGGCAGCGCAACTTTTCCTCCAAAGGCCAGGTGCCTCTCAGATGCCCCTGGTTCTCCAAAGATCTTCAAAAGCTCCACTGTCGAAGAGGTTGCATCGGCCAATCTTCCCTGCAGACCTTTCTCGTGACACAGAGAAGGCGGGGAGAGGACTTTCAGAAAAGGGCGGATGTAACTATGACTGACTATGAATTTCATGATGTTTCATGGCAGGGCCCAGTTGTGAGCCTTGGTCTTGATCTTGGCCCAGGCTGGCGAGCCGCTGCGGCCAAACGAAGACTTGCTGCCAGAGACCCAGCTAGCCAGAGATTGCGCAGAGCCAGAGAGAGCCAATGTCAGAGCCAATGCCCGGTGAGTATTCCGTGAGTGTGTCTCATTGACGGTCCCACGTAGCCCGCGGTCTTGGTTGCCACCAATGTGGTGTTGCGGCTCGACTGTCCACTTTGCTCAACATCGTGTGAGGCGTCGAATGATGGCACTCCCGGCTTTGGCAGCCTGCAAAGGACGGGTGCGACTAGAGTGGCAAGCTCATGGCTGTTATAGCTGCCATGAACGATCCGAGTACTTGGCCGAGCGGATTTTTGAAAGGCTTTCCACGAAAAGTCGTACGTCTGGCCGCCGAGGCAGGGTTGCAGCATGTAATTAAGCATACTTGTGTAAGATCTTGTACGATACTAGATAGGCTTGTGCCTGCGTCGTGCATCCAAGGTGACCTGGGAGCTTCCCTCCCTTTTGCATCTGCAACCTGAGATCTAGGATCGTTGGGACCGTTGAGACTATTAATTGGGACTGCCGACGAAATCGCAGAAAGTGCTAATTTTTTTTACGGCCGCCACCCGTTGGAAGCATCTCATGACAAAGCTGGATACGCGATGAAAACCAATAATCGTTCGTACTTCCAGCTCTGTGGCAGAGAGCCGTGGTAATGCATTGCCAAGTGCAGTGTAACAATTTTCGAGCAGGTTGGATGACCCTACCTGGGTTTTCGTCCAAACCTGCACCAGTCTCGCACACGCAGGCAGCAAAATCGTTCCGGGCTGCAAAGGCCAAATCTGCAACAGTCCCGTCTCAGTTTGTTCGTAGCATCCGTTTGAAACCATGAACTGGACCTGAACCCCGTGTCCCGAAGCCTTCGCTGCGCCACACAATGTTGCAGTACGTTGCAGTAGGCCTCAGCAAAGCGAGGAGCAGCTCGGACTGTTTGAAATGTCTCAGCTGCGGCGTAGGAAGTGTCCAGAACAAAGTTCTCCCTAGACTTTCCTCCGAAATTGAGCAGATTTTGTGTGTTCTGGAGAAGGTGCCATGGGAGAAGAACATCCGAGCAGTATCAGAGTATGGCACACCTGTCACTTCCTTCGTTTCAACCCCCTTTTTCCTTCACTAAGGCCTGAGATGGTCTCAGGAATTCACTGCACGCGTCCGTTCTGAGGGTCGTTACATCGTGAGCTGCAGCACACATGCTGCAAGCTTCAACAATATCACGCAGTTGCACCGTTGGTGATGCACATCCTGAGTCTCGCTTGGGAACAACCGGATGCCCCAAGGGAGGGTTAGAGAATTGCCGACTTGGTTGTGCCAATTATGTTTTTGTACTTGGCCTGGCAGAATACCGGATGTGTGCCACTAACGGTAGCACTGTTAGACTGTTAGAGCAATTTTGGGTACCCGCTACATTTCTGTGGGGTTGTGGGGTGAGAAAGCACCCTGCACCCTGGCGGGAGACGGGAGATTCCGAGATCCCAGAGACATTGCAATGCATTGAAGCCTCAAGCAATCCAAAGCAGTTGAAGACGCTCCAGCGCGCGGCTTCACATCTCTTCATGTTTTGCATGGCCTACAGGCTTGTTGCGGCTCATTGCAGCTCTATGCAGCTCATTTTGGTTGGCTCTTTCGGCAGAATCTCAACACAAGTCATAAAGCCTTAAAACCCGAAGTGGACCTTGATGATTATGTTTGCAGCCCCTCGTGCACCTTGTGGGTTTTAGAAAATCTAGGTCGTGCACCTTTGGGCGAATCTCAACCCGGATGGCGACATGTCGCCTGGAGTTGATGGGTGTGCACGACTATCCGAGGCAATCGTGTGGTTGTGAAGCGTGCCCAAAAGAAGAAGCGAAAGCTGAGCTTGTGCCCAGGCATGCTTCCACCGTGCTGCGGAGATTTCACAAGGCCGGTATCCTGTCGGGCTTCAATATCCCCAACAAGAAGCCTGGAGAGCCATTGCTGGAATGGGCCGTAGCCTTAGTGATTGAGTGAAGCCGGCAAGCTGCCGAAGCCGAAAGCTTCTTGCAACTTAGGCTCGCGTGCTGTTGAGCGAGTTCCCTGCAGTGGAAGTGACGGTACATTACAGCTTCTGGGATAGCGCTTTCAAATCTTTGTAAGTATTTCGAACTGGTTTAACGCTTGTTTAAAACGAACCATGGGTTACTCCAGCCGACGACCTTCTGCATGGGACCGGCCACAAGGCTCGGAAGGCTTCCCACCGCTGCCATGCCACACTGCCTTCATAGGCAAACGCATCCGCAGGATTCAAGGGCTCACTGCACCAAAACCCTATCTTGGTTTTCACTCTACCAGGAACAGCAAAGTGGTTGGGACATTTCATTACATCCTGAGGTCTGAAGCACCAGCGCCGAGCGAATCCGGTGGAGGTGCGTAGAGCATCGTAGAATCTTCATCTTTGCTTCAGCTTTGCTCTACCTGAAGCTACAGTGCTTTAAGCTTCCGGACAGCTAGCTGGCTACGGCACAAAGGGGAATAAAGGGTGCAGATGCGAAGGCACAAAGACAAATGTTATTCAGATCTGGGGCTCTTGGGTTAGGATTCGGGGCTTTAGCATGGCCCCAGGGTTTTGAGCACAGTTCCCGGCCAGGCTTTGAGGGCTTGGTGTCATGAGGCTGCCGCTGTGGGAGTTCGGAGAGACACTCGGACAGGTCAGGATGATCGCGTGTACTAGTATGTGCATGTGCCCAAGATTGCCCAAGTGCTTCCCTAACATTATCGCGAACACGCCCCGCTCTTCAGTCGTGCCTAGACCCATTAGACCCATGGAACTAAGTCGTCAAGGCAGGGCCCTCTGAGGGGTCCATAGAAGGGCCAACCGTTTAGGTTTTCCGGGGTCCGCAGGGGTCCGCAGCGTCCAGACAATAGGCGGTCCACAGCAGGTCAACCGCCAGGCCTGCCAGGGAAAAGGCTAACTGAGGCGAGCTATTCTTTTACCCCAAAGGGGCCTGGGGGATTCGGCAGGTTGAGAGATGAGCATTCTGCAGAATCTCGCGTAGAAGCTCAGGTACTGCTGGTGACTGGTCCGCACGGACCTCGGCAAGACACCGTGACTTGGCTGCAGTGTCGCCCAACGCAGTGCGGCGCGCAGCGAAGCCATGCGAAGCCAGGCCAGCGGCCAGTCTGCGTTGTGGCTTTTGGCTTTCTGATGACCCATGATTCGCACGCATGCCCTCTCGGCATATCTGTCATCACAGGTGAAAGTACTGAACCAGTTCGGCCGGCCAGTTGAAGGAGTCCGTTTGGGAGTTGCCTTCAATGTTTCTTGGTCGCATTAGAACGCATGTCACAACGGCAGGCTGTTCTGCACTTGGACGAACGTGGCAAGGCGTGCCTGCCAACCGAAGCTGAACGAGAGATGGAGCGAAAGCGCTTGGTCCAGAAGTTGCGGACCGGATTGGTCGAGGACATATGGCTGACGATTGGCAGCCATTAAGAGAAATTGGAAATCCGCACAAGCTGACAGCAAACCGGAGCAGGCATGGAAGCTGACGTGCAAGACTGCCTGGACGCTCAGGAATACTGGCGTGGATGAAGACATGCTACGAAGTGGTATCGCCTTTGTCAAGACCACATGCGACAAGTTGCCTGACTTTGCGTATGTTGCGGGTATTGACAGTGCACGCCCTGACGTTTGTACCCCCAACTCCTGGCTACTGAGGTTGAATATAGCACCACATATATTTGGGTCGGCAATGCTTCCCAGTGAAGGGCAGCTGCAGCAGATGCGCGAACGCCCGTGGAATGGTGTCCAGTTTAGCGAGGACTGGCAATGACTGGCCGTGCTTCCATGTTTTGTGCGGTGCGTTGTCCGCAAGCTTTGAGCTTCAGATGTGCGGCCTGTCCAGGAGTTCCTCAGTTCTGTCGAGGGGATGGGTTCGGCGACAAGTAGAGTCTTGGCCATCTTCCGAGAGCTGGGTGTGGAGCCAATCATTGAGAGCAAGGTGGGCCTCGAGCAACATTGTGCAATCCAAACATGGGATGGCAAGATGTGAGCGCGCAGGTCAAGAGCGACATGGATGTGTTGAAGTTGAATGCTCTCCTGAACGGTGATCCGGAGAGTTTAGAAGTAATAGAGAAGCCAAGTCGAGAAGGCCATCTGGCTAGCCAGCCACCTGACAGCCCCGAGCATGCGCCAACCCTTAACAGTCACATACATGCCTTGCATGCTTTCGCATTGTGGCTTGGCAGCGCAAAGGTTTGGATCAGCCGACTTGGCCAGTTCCTTGGAACCGCAGAAAGAAGGCCATGGGATTTGTTCTTGCATCATGTTAATATGGCACAAATGTGAGACACGAGCGCGCTGAGTTCGTACCACTTCTATGTCCTTAGAATCAGCTCTAGCCTATTGTATGCGGACCTCGCTGGCGGCCTGGGCAGACGGTGGACAAGCCGACAAGCGATGTGGGGCACAGTTCTGTCCTCCAGTGAGGAGGCGCTGGGGGAATGGCCAAAGAAGAAACGCATAGTTTGTAGTCTTCCCCAACTTTGTACAGATGAGCAGCGTAACAGATCATGTGGCCCTGTGAGGGCCGAGAACCTTGCTCGGGTACTGCTGTCTCACCTAAACAGTTTTCGTCTGACCGCTAACGGGCGTGAGACTTGACTATGTTTGTAGTTTTCGGCCGACCAACGACATGTCAGCCCAACGGCAGCATTCGCAAGCATGCGAAAGTCAGCTTAAAGTATTTCGTGCAGACACGGGGCCTATTCTCTGCACCGACAGGAGTTCCCTCTGTCGCGCAGGCTTCAGCTTAGGCGATGCCACAAGTCCTCAAGAAGTCACTCCAGCCAGGTGCAAGGCAAAGAGAGTAGCCGTACTCGGTGTCGTCCACATTGCGAGAGGTGTCCAAAGCAGATATAGGGATAGACAGAGGGATAAGACTCAAACAAGACTCATGGAGCAGTGCGCTGGTGAGCCTGGGCCGACAGCATCCAACACCTCCGAGGCTCAAGTGCCAGGTGCGGCTCGGTGCGACCGGGTGACATTCTATTCGTAATGTTTAGTGTCCATGGCATATACATGACATATACTCCCTTGGGCCTTTCTTTGTGGGCGGCACTTCTCAAAATTGCACTCTGATAGGGCTCTGTTAAGTCTCCCCGAAGTCCCTGATCATGCGAACCTGCCAGGCGAAGATGCCAAACCGCCGGCCGAGCCAGCAGCCGCATGCTGCACGCAGACACATTCGCGCGCAGTTCAGTGCTTGCTTGAATCCTGCCATGGGCGATAGTCAAGGCGACAGCGGCGCCAAAGACAGCTGGCAAGAAAAGGCCTGCAGCTGAGCTGTGCGATGCCAAGCTTTGAACGCTTCAGAGAGGCCGGCCAGCGATCCGGCCAAAGCTGCCAAGCGGCAGAAAGTCGAGCTCTCGGTCGGTGACAAAGGCGTTTTCTTCACGACCGCGAATGCAGGCGATTTGTTAGCAGCCTTCAGAAGCCAATTTGCTGCTGCTTTTGGTTCTGCCGATACAGAGTTGTCACATGCAATCATGCTGCGAGGCAGTGCTGTCAACGCGAAGCGCGAGCTTCAAAAGCAACTGGATGGCGAGCTGCAGAAGTTGCTTGACGCGGTGCAGGCTCCGAATGGGACCAGTGGCCTAGCTAGTTGTGGTTTGCCTGGCATGTGATGAGGTGTCATTGACAAGGATGACAAGGGCATACCTTAATCATACTTCACGCTAAATGCTGGGTGACTCCGTGTACTGACTCAACGTTGATGAATGACGCCAAAGTGGCAAGTAGGGGGCATACGACAAGAAATGCAAGAAGTTGCTTGCCAGGAAGCTGAGCCAAAAGCCGCAAGGCAGGAGTTTTGCTCGTAGTTCTGCAATGCCGTGCATTTCCCGAAGTCCTGCTTCTCAGGCCGGAGGATACCCCTGCATCAAGCTCCAAGCCTAAGTTTGTGCCGTGCACGGAGGCAGCCTTGGGATGTGCGGAGCTGCGGCTAGTGACGAAAGTGGCTAAAGTGTGAAGAGCTTTGCAAGGCGGCCAAGGGCACTGGATTTCTCAAGCTGGAAGCCGGCACGGAGATAGAACCCTCCAAGGCCCCGCTATTTGCCAGGGAAGTAAGCAACATTCAGCAATGCAATGGGGAAGTTAAACACGGGCTGTCTACTTCTCTGAGATTAGTTGTACATGAACTTTAGATTCATCTCACTTGCCGCAGCCAAGACGTGCTGTACTGAGCCCCGTGATGCCCCGTGACTCAGCACTGTCAACAAAGATCCATGACACTCCAAACGCTTGCTTGCGAGTATGATGCTCCACAGTCTGTTCTTGTCCTTGTAACTTGCATTCTGCGCTGACCACTTCGAGTGTAACCTCACGCTGTGCAATGGCAGTGGACAACCAGGAGGAGCAAGAAGACGGTTGCGAGGAAAGTTCAGAGCTGCCAGAGCTACTGGAGCTGATTGATTTGGCCGAGAGCTCGGCTGAGGATGTCGCTCGATTCGCGGAAGTGCTCCGGAATATCGGCCGCCGTGTGAAAGCTACACCTGGCGACAGAGATTTGCTGAGCGACTTTGAGGGCATCTCTCAAATTTGCGAGGCTTTAAGCAAGGAGCCTCACACGTGGGAGGGAGAAGCAATGCTGGCATTCTGCCGTGCAATGCCTGAGATCTGTCGGACGAGTGTCGTAAACCGTGCCTCGCTCCGCGACGCGGGGTTTCTAGCCGCCTGCGTGCGCTTGCTGCACGCAGGTGTGAGGGAGAAGGATGAAGCCAAGGCAGTGGCTGCTTCGCAAGCCCTTGCCGCCTTGTGCACTGCCAGCGACGCCAACAAGCAGGCAGCCATGGCCGCTCACGAAAGCGCAGGTGAGCCTGGCCTGCTTCCATTGCTGCTGGATGTCCTGGTGGCGTTTCCTGACTCTTCGCAAGTCCAAGCTGAGTCAATGGCAGCACTGCGGTCCCTCGTTGTGGATGATGACAGCCGAAAGTCTGAAACTGCACCATCTGCGCTTGAGAACCGTGAATTGCTGCTCAGCGATGAACTATACCCGAATGTGAAGAGTGCAGTACAGCATGCATGCCACCTCTCGCAGCGCCATCCGCAGATTGTGAAGCTGACGGAGCAAGCTTTGCTACTACTGCGTGAGATCTCGAGAGGTCAGGAGCGAGTGCAGGAGATTGCCAAACCAAGCAACAAGCTTCTGACATTCGTGCAAAAATCGCTGGAGTCTTCGGAACCCCGCATCCTCCGTGCGGCAATGGCCGTTCTGCGCGCCTTTGCGCTCTGCGAAGATGTTCGGGACGAGCTCTCATTGCGGCTCGTACACCAACAAAGCTTTCAGACTTTTCGTGAGCTGGCACCCAACACACGGCAACTTCAATCACGAAAGCATAGCTTCACGGGTGGGTCAATGAGAGGCTCAGAGAGAATTCCCCAGAGATGTGGTTTTTTCTGTAAGGTCGTGCGAGACGTGCCGATACGTGCAAGCCATTCAACGCAACGTGGCAACGCCTGTTGTTTGTGAGCAAGGCTTTGGCCTTCTCGCAAACCTCACCCTTCGTTTCCTGCCTAATTTATTTGCAAGTCCGCATTGTTTCAAAAAGAGCCGGGCATAGCTGGGCTTAACAAATGAGAGAGCACGACTCAGGCAACCCTGCAATGGCGCCTTGAGCCCAGCTGGATCACTGCAAGCATGCGGCTGTTTGCTGCAGGCTCTTCCTCGCTCTTGTCTGCTCCATGTACCTCTCTCTGTCAGATAGGCTCCTTCCTGATGCTACCTTGCGCCAAGGTCGTTTCTCAATGATTCAGACCATCAGGTTGTTTCTTTGGGCCAGCTTGTGCTGCAGAAGCACGCGGACAGGCATCGGCCGTACTGATTCAATCTTGTGGTTGCACCTCTGTGCAGCAGTTTGCATGATGCGTTTTAGACTTGATTCCGGACCTTTGCCTCGAGGCCTGATGTTTCGAAGTCCGTGATCCAGTTGCTTTGGGGTAGCCCACCAAAAAAATGGACTGAAGTTGAAACGAGCTTTGCTTGCTTCTATTTCCGATTCGTGCAGAGAGCGCGGTCGTCTAATTCTGTCGAGGCCTGTCGTGAGATTCTATCCGAGGTGTTGCGAGGCAGAATGCGAAAGCACTTGCGGAGGTGCTGCATTCACGGCATACTCATCGAGCACATGCACGCGCCTGCGTCCTCGTGCCGAAACTTGTAGGCGTGCGTGTACAGTCTGCTTGGTGCAGGTGCGCGAACTGGAGCTGTTCGTTGCATTCCGCAGCATTGTCAGTCAACATGAAGCTGATCCTCGCTGGCATGATGCCGTGGAGGCTCTGCTTCCCATCCTCTCTGATGGCCAAAACTTGTGTCCTGTGCTGAAAATCAGCTTAAAGACTTAAACTCAGGTTTTAGAGTAAGCTCAATTGTGAGACTCGGATGGAGCAGAGTTCAGTCGGCCCTATGCACACCTGGGCTTATGTAGGATGCATTTTTGGGGCTCCTGAGCCAACTAGCCTGAGTAGGTAATTCCTGCAGTCCTGCTTTCAGGATGTTATGCAGCTTATGCCAGTTCTTTCCAGTAGTAGGAAAACTTGGAGACTTTATTATAAAGTTCATAAAGCACAGGTCACGGAAATGAAGGCATCATTGTGCTGATTTCCTGACGGCGTGCATTCGTGCCAACCCTTTACAATGTGCAGGTCGCCCGCCAGATCCTCCGTGAGTTTCGCGAGGATGCAGGTGTGCAGAAGAAGGCCATTTACAACGCGGCCTACCTGCAGTGGTCGATGCAGATCGATGCAACGGCAATCAAGCCTTCTGCGAGCAATCAAACCAAGGACTACTACTGACTACTGGCAGGCAGAAGAGCTGAGCAAAGCTTCAGAGTCTTGCCATTCTGGAGGTCAAAGATTGACTTTCCATGCACGAAGAAGAATGTGGCATCGGACGTGTGAAAATGTTCTTGCATCGACTTGCCAACATCCAGGGCTCAGTACGCAGAAAGCAGTGCGAAGCACGTCCAAAACCATGATGCAGAGGTGGTCAGCCAGATGCTGGAAGCCCAAAGATCAGACTTCCTGGCTACAGGCCATTGGTGTACACATGTCTGTACATTCCTGAGCAAGCAGTCACCAAGTGCCAACCCTCAATCCTTAGCCCTAAACTCAAATCAGACAACCACGTCTAGTTGCTCTGTTGTCATTTTGTGGGCGTGCCCAGTTTGTACGGTGCCTACATCGCATCCAAACGAAGTGGCACAGGTTTGGCCGCCACTTCCAGGTGGGCGACTGAATTTGTAGCGAACCATCCAAAACTCTGTTCCTAGTATTTCCAAGTGAATCAGCTGAGCAAGTGAGGCATCTATGTCGAGTTCTGCCTCTGGACAATCTTTGACACTTGATTTCACATCGTGGAACAACTCGGAACAAATTGTATACATGTATGCATGCATATATATATATATACACATACTTTCTTCATACATATGTGCTCAGGTAAACCGTATGTTGATGATTTCCGCCGGCTCGCACAGGACTGCCATGAACCCATGAGCATCGCCAAAGATGAGTTGAGATTGAGATAGTATGCATTTCGGTCCAGGAGGTGTTGCCTGGTCATTTGGGCCCTGACGTTGCCTCAACAACGTGGGCATTGGAGCACCCGCCTTACTCAAGCTCTCATCTGCGCGCCGACAGTACAGCTGTTGGTAACCTCAAGCGCGAGGGAAACACGTTGATCTCAGGTTCAAGTCCCGCAATGCAAACACACTCAAGAAGGAGGACGCCCCTTCTCCAAGGCCCCATCATGAGTCTCGCTCTCTTGATGCGGGGGTCGGAGGTGGTCCTGGAAGTGCTGGATGCCATAGTTCCGAAGGGCCACCACAAGGCGCAAGCCCCGTCAGAACTGTGGTTACAAGCTCTAGCAGATAGAAGCAGGTGCAATGTGCAGATCATGGGCAGGTAAATCTCAACGACCCTGCCAAGTGCATTCTTGTGGAGGCTAGCTAATTTGTCCTCCCGATATCGAAAGAAAAGCAACATCTGCATTGCAGGTGCATCCGTCATGGTGCGGATTGAGCATTGTGGAGAACTGGGCGAGATTGTGGCCTTTGCAAGATTGCTTCGCTAACTGCATGCGTTTGTGCCATCATGTCTTGTGATTTGCCAGCTGGACCGCCCTTCGCTGGAAAAGTGCGTCTGACGAACTCTGCATGCCAGGAAAAAGTACAATCTCCATGCGTTGACAACGCCGGAGGTCCGGATCCACAGTATGCCAAGAGTACTCCGCCGACTGGGCAATACTATGCAATACTGACAGGAGGGTACGAAGGTGGCTAAAGTGGCAGAGGTCTGCACCTCACCAACCGCAAGACCGTGCATGTTCTCTGCCTCGTGATCTGTTGACAGGATTTGACTGCTTGCGAGGTTTTCCGGGAAGCACGGAAGCCTGAAGAGCCGAATGCAGAAAGCACAGGCCAGACCTAAGTGCGCTGGATATCGACCAAAAAAGCGGCCCTTCTGCGATGATTGTGTGCATCATCTAGCTGCTGCAAGCTCTTGCCATAGATGGATCCTGATAGAAGCTGTTTTTTTTCCTGTCTCCCTTTGTCTCCCTTTGTCGTCTCCCTTTGTCCCCCTTTGTCTCCCTTTGTCTCCCTTCATGTGGGTGGCTTTGCCGGGTTCCGCGCGCCTTTGTCTCCCTATGTCTCCCTCCGTCTCCCTTCACGTCCCTTTGTCTCCCCTGTTTCTTTGACATGCCTCTAGCTGTTTGGGCTCTTCGGTGGTGTAATTTGTTTCTGGATGCTGTGCACAAAGAACCTGCCCTTTCCTCTGGATGTTGGATGCCTGCACATCGTCGATCTGCACCTATAATGAAGGAGGAAGCAGGCATGCGTACACCTCTTACAGGGCTGTCACAGGGCCAAGTGCATCAGGCAGCACGTTCCTCCAGGGGTGCCATATTGTTCCCAAGGGAAGTCAGGAAGGTCCTGGGTTTGGAGTTTGATTGCTTTTTCCAATCGCCCTTCTTTGAGGGGCCCTCCCCCCCCCCCCCAACCCGCCCCCCCCCAACCCGCCCCCCCCCAACCCCCCCCCTCCCTCCCAACCAATTTGGTGTTTTGGAAGGGGAATAAAACGGGTGGAAAGCCCCCCCCCCCTCCAAGCCGACCAAGCCCCCAAGCCGCCCCCCCCCCCCTCCCCCCCACCACCAATTTGGTGTTTTGGAAGGCGGAACCGCGCGTTTTTGGGAGGGGTGGGAGGGGTTTCCTAGATCCAGCAAGAGCGGAGCAGAAGACGAGAGCGGATAGCCCAACTCAACTACGTTGCCCAGAAACAAGAAAGCAGAATCCTGAGCACACAGCATACCAGATCTATCAATGCAAGCAGCGTCTTCCCTAGTGACTTCACCTTGAATTCTCGCTGTAGGTGCAGGTTCTTGCTATTGAATTTGCATCGGTCATAGGGGACGTTGCTCCCTGTCTCAAGCTGCGGTCCTTCGAAACCCGTCCGCACAACCGCGTTTGCCAATTCCATCCATCCGCCCAGCCATGCGTCACTTGCCCCTGGTATGGTTGGGTTTCGCCTTGGCCGGAGGCGCCCGCCTCGGCCCCGGCAAGCAGGAGAAAAGCCAAAGCTTCGGCTACCGCATGCAGCAGCAGCTGGAGGGTATTCCAGCAAAACTGAATCAACAGGCAGCTGCCACAGTGACTGAGATGGATTTCATGCAGGAAGGCATGGAGCAGCTGCAGAGGGCTTTAAACAACGGAGATGACGTCATGTCCCTTTCGACGCAGCTGGCGCAGAAGGCCGCGTCTGTCAGCGGATCCTTGGATGAGCTGGTGAATGGCTTGCAGGAGCTGGACGCCTCTTTGGCAGAGGTGGTTCAAGAGGACAGTTCTCTCGAGTTTCAGCCTACGCTCTTCGAAATCAAGTCTACGATGGTGCCGGGGATGAGGTCGAGCTTCACCTTTTTCCAGATGGGTCTGAGGCAGATGCGTTTCCTTTTCGAGCAATTGGAAGATGGCGCCAGCGACGACGTGGTGAAACGAGCCAAAGACACACTGCATTATGAAGTGGACAACCTTCAGCAAATGAAAGCTGAGCTCGTACAAAAGATTCAAAAGCTCCTGCGGAGCCTGAAGCAGCTGCATGAAGAGCTTCGGACACACTTTGGACATGTCGCACCCCAGGCACCCAGCCTGGCCACTGAGTGGGCAGCTGTCGAAGGCATGGAGATCTCCGAGGCCCATCTGAAAGGACCTATTACTGGTAGAGCACAAACCAGGAAGGCTGTTGCCTTCAGCCCCCGATCATTGAACTGTACATTGGACAAATTCTAGTGGACCCTTACTTCAAAAGATTCTGAAGGCCCTGGCCGCGGTCCACGAGAAGCAGCCAAGCGACGCTGTGGGCTCCAAGCTAACGACGCTCTTGGAGTTCCTTCGTGGCCAGAATTTCGACAAGGCCATGGCACCTGATTCTACAGGCATCCAATCCAGATGATACTGCACCCTACTGATATGCAATCGTATGCCATAATCGTAGTAGCATGTGATGATATGCGATGTCCGATGTTACATGATGATACAGGGTTTGGGAACAAGATCCGGGTGCAGGGAGGTTTGTCATGGACAGTCCTTTGGGGGCCAAGGCCATGTGTAAGTATGGATAATGTAGGATATCTAAAGCCTTAAGTCAGGCATGTACGAATTATCGAACCTTCGCACTTGCGGTCACGGATCTCAAGCTATAGGCTTAGCATTCATTTGAGCCTGAGCGCTTTGATAGCAGCTTCCCATCTTTGAGCAGGGTTGCATATTATCATGCCAAGCCGTAGCTGAACTCAGATGATCGCATCGTAGAAACAAAGAGCATCGATTCGAATTGTCGGATCTGAATATAGTAAGCAAGTTCAAACGACTACATTCAGTAAAGCTACACGCGTTGTACAGGTATTTCAGCCTTCGTCTGTGTGTAGTTGACGTAGTATGCCTTGGTCCATTCTTGTATGTGTTCTGATAGCACAGAATGTACTGGTACATTGCAGTCCCAGCTGCAAACAGAGCACAGGATCCTAAGCCCCCTAAGCCCTACACGTATTACACCCCTCAGATCCCTGAGCCCTCGAAGAAGGCCTCCACAGAGGCCGAGTGGAAGTCCCGGAAGCCGCTCCACTTGGCAGCTGCAAAGGGCCGTCCACAGGACGGGTGAAATGAGGGCTGCAGGGTTTATGGTGTAAGGTTCCGGCTTCAAGGACGTAGGGTTTTACCCAGCGGATTCGCGTTCGAGGCTGGGCTTTTGGCTTTTTGGGCTTTTGTGGCTGGACTTTGGTTGGTTCTGAATTCCCGGCCCAAGAAGGAAGCTGAGCTCCTGCTGGAGGTCAGAGCAGATGTGGACGCCCAGGCGCGACCTTAACACCTACTTGTTTTGCATTGCTTCTATAGCACCGTCTAGTTTTCCGCATGATGGCACATTCTGATATCGCACAAATCGGTACGTTGCAGTATACCAGCTCTCACCCAAACTTTCACAACCAGGCCAGGAGACTTTTTCGTTCACCAAGGTTCCAAACACCGGCGATACTCCGCTTCTCTATGCCGCAGTCCAACTCTCCCGCCACCAGGATGATGAGGAGACCCAGGAGAGGGTTTTGTGTTTGAGGGCTGAAGGGTCTAGGATCTTTGTTTGGGGCGGTGTTGGCTTTGAACGGTGTTGTGACTCCAGATGGTGAGTATTGCATTAATGTAATATTGGCACGTTGGCTGTTGCTGTTGATTCATGACTGCATGTTAGAATGAAGTTGATCTTGGAAAACTCATGACAGTCGGAGGACTTCCAAAGCGTTGTGGCATTGCTCTTGGCACATGGAGCAGACAAGGCGAAGGCCAATAAGAAGCACAAGGCCCCGCAGGATTATCTGAACTGAAGGAGATGAAAAAAGGACCTAGAGAGTAGGGGTTCTATATTTTGGAATGTTGATCTAATCCGATAAAAATTTGAGAATTCTTATTTCTAGGATGTAGAATGCTTTCTATATTTATATATCTATTTGAAATCTATTTGCAGAAGACCTACGTACGGGATTGAAAATTCTTATATTACATTTTCTTTATCATATCTCTGGAAAAATATTCGTATTTCTTGAAATATAAGATTATTCTTTTTCTTTAATAGAAAATTTTCTTTGGAAAGGTATTAATTCATTTCGATATTTTTTTATAATTAGAGACTACATTAGAAATATTATTTACTTCTATATTCTTTCATTTTTGGAGACCGAACTTCAAGATATTCTTGGAATGATTAATTCAGAATATTCTTGGAATATCTTAGTTTTAGAAAAATCTTGGAATATCTATATATATTCGTTCCGAATTTTTCAATATAACATTTTAGAACATTCTGATACTTATTCTTGGAATGGTTAATGTTAATATAAATTATATACTTGATGGACTTAATTTAGAATATTTTCGGAATTCTAGAATATTTAGTTTTATTTAGAATATTCTGGAATATCTAATTTTAGAATCTTTCTGCCTAGAAAGGAGGGGGTATTCGATTCTATATTTTGGATTCTTTAATTTTTGTTTTTGAATCTTTGGGTCGGAAAAATTGTTTCTGTGTTTTTTATATCGGCCATATTTGGATTTGATAAATGAGAGAAATTACGATTAGATATTTCTCACCAAATATATATATATATATATTGATCCATTATTGCCCCGAATTCACGATGAAATATTTCTATTCTTAAATACAAGAATGGATTCTTGAATTAGGATTAGGAGAAAACATATCTAAAATATCTCGAGGAGGGGACATTCATTAGATGATTTCGTTTGGCCCCCATTTCGGTAATTTGAACCTGGAGATCCAAATAATTCCAAACTATAAATAAATAATGACTCCAAAAAAATCGAAGAAGAAATGAATATAATCGAAATATAATCGTACTGGATTTGATCCATGATTTATCCGATATCATCCCAAATGAAGAGATACCCTATTGGATATCTTCCTTCAAGAAATTGCCGAAGTAGTACAACAGCTCCCACACAAATATGTTGCTATCCATATTCTCCAACAATCGTTGAATTTCGGCCGCGTGCAATACTGGGCACGCACTGCACCACGAGCTTTCATAACCTCTTTTCTTGAGTTCCATTCCCCTGCGTTCTTTCGGAATTCTTCTAGAATTCGAAGCCGGGTGCTTCGAAATCAACATACTTCCTGACCACGCGTGGACAGTTGCTCTGGCGTACTCCATTGCGGATATGTTACGCAAACCTGTGGCCAATAGTGGTGCACAACTCAAACACGAAGACTCTGAGCCAGTAAGAGGTGCCTAGGTGCTTTCAATTTCTCTCCGAATCGAAGATATCTTGCTTCAAGGTCACGCCTATCCTTGTGGTACTGATGCCCAAGGTTTGGCTTTGAAGCGCAACCAACCCAAGCCTAGTTCTTGCATTTGTTGTGCATTTGTCAGGGCTATCACAAGTGGATCAACCAGATTATCAATCTGACGCTGAAGGCCGCTTGTTGAATTTACAAGTTCTGAGCCGTGT